AGTGCACCCCTTCGCTAAGAGCGCTACCCGCCCGTCCAACACGTTGCATCCAACGGTGTCAGATTGACGGACGCCCATAGTATAGACAAAAGGACTACAGTTTAGAATATGGTAACATATTTTCATATGTTCCGTATACTAAAGCTGCGCCTGCAAAGGCCTAGTAATGCATGGGTATATCTCCCAGAGATGGTGTTCACGGTCTTATGCCGCGGAATCCTTCTAACTAATTTCATTAATTAAATAATAAAAAGGATTGAGTTTAAAAACCAAAAGGATTCCCACCGAATACTAGTCAGTGCATCGTCATATTTACTCCCGCGCTGGAAACTTTTCGCAACACTAATTTAAGAAATGCAAAATTCTAATAAAAAAGAATTTAATGTCTCTAATTAAGAATTCTTTGTAGTGAAAAAAGAATTTATTGTGAAAATTAATAAAACATCCTCGGGCGACTCCCTCCTCAGAGTGAATTTTCAAGAATACGCAAAATATGTTGAAATAGATCACTCTGACTTGGAACTCTACCCGTCACGAATTATCTTCTTGCACATAAATTGTTCATTTTCTCATGAACGTGTAAATAAGTTAAACTACTCGGAAAAAATTCTCAAATTATATTTGAATTTATAATGTACAATAACATCATTAATATGTATATCCAGTATACATATTACATAATACTATCAATACTTCTATTGCTTTGAACTTTCGCAATAACTAAGTCAAATAGTATTTCACTTCTCTATTATGGACAAACTAAATAAAATTGTTTCGGTATTAAAATATTTCATATTCCACATTTATGAACATTTAAGAACATTTAAGAGCATTCATATATTTCATAAATATCTATTGGAATATGTGGAATTGAAATGATAATAAAACGCGAAGTACAAGAAGACCTAGCCTAACTAAATGAAATGAAACAATAAAAATGTTACTACTCATGGGTATGTATAATCATACCCATGGTCACTATGCTTGCCAAGCACGTATACAACTAGTAGCCCGTGTCGATTCGGACCATTCGTCCTACGACATGATTGGGCACCAGAGGAACCATAAAACATGCGACTCACCGTTCGCAGATATACTCTTCTTCCGACAGTCAAACACCAGGTAGGAGGCTGCCTTGTAGGAGAAAACGGAAGTCGTGAAGAAAGCTGTTCATCTGTAACAAAGAAAGGAGAATTACGGTTAATTTTGAAAATTATCCATTTTTATTCTAATAAAATTATATATGAAATTGAATTTTATAAAATATTAACAATTAAAAAGAAATCTCAATTATCAAGTATTGAAATTGTAAATTATTCTATTTTAATAAAAAGCAATTAAGTGACGTACCAAGACGGAAGTCGTGAAGAAAACCATCATCAGGATATCCAGGAACTCGGCTAAATCAAAAAATTCATCTGTAACAAAACAAAAAAGAATTACGGTTAATTTTGCAAATTATATCAATTTTTGATATAATAAAATTATATATGAATTTAGATTTTATAAAATATTAGCAGTTAAAAGAAACTTTTAATTATTAAGTGTTGAAATTGTAAATGATTCTATTTGAATTAAAATTAATTGAATAAAGTAATAAGATACTTACACTCTTTCCTTATGGAGCATCGCCCAAGACTCCTCTTCAGTGATACCCGCGACTCTAATACGCGATATATCGAGTAATTAGAAAAAAAGAATTAAAAATAAAAGTAAAGACTAGTAACGCGACCGTGAATAATTTCCGGCATACAATAATTGTAGACTCTACTTTCGCGATGGAAAAAGAAAAATCAGAGCCACGATGCTCTAGAAAATATTTTATAATACGCAGTAAACACTGACTCTACTTTCGCGTGATTCCTAATCGTACAAACGCAACTCTAATCAGGGCCAGTTCGCCCTTGCAAAAATCAAAACATTGGAAGTGTGTTCGTACAAACACTGACTCTACCGACCGCATTGCGCGCGGCCACAACAATTCCTGAAAGAAAAACTTGGTGAGCAGGGATGGGCTGGGTGGAAATATACAAAACAACATTCTTCTTATTGAGCATTGGTAACAAAAATACTGTTATTAATGGCTTGTAAATGAAAATATCTATGTTCGTGAAATATATTCGACGAGCACAAATATTGTTAAACCTGAATATTGATCCTAGATTGAAATAAAATGTTTTAAATAATTGTTGATAATTATTTCAATGAATATTACTATTTTGATTTAAACTTGCATCGAAAGCTGGATATTATAATATAATTACTACGATTTAACAAAAATAGATTGTTTAAAATAATTTATAATTGCAGAAGAGAAGCAATCATTTGCAGTAAAATACGAATTATTTCAATTTTGTTCTAATTTAAAACAAATGTATTAAAATACTAGACAAAACTATTTAATAAAATGAAAAATTAATTATTCTTTTCCTATGAATTGATTAAAGAACAAAAATATTTCTAATCTTTTCTTTCTTGGTACCTTGGTACCAATTAACTATCAAAAAACAACGACTCAATGAAAAAAAAGTAATAATAAACGTTAATAATTGATTAGAATAAATTAAAACAATAAATTCTTATGAAATTATATTGCAAACCCATATCAGATGTCGTGGCGTCCTTTCAAAATCTATCAAATATCTGTAATAAAAAAGAAATACGAATTTATGTACATAAAATTTAATCAACAATTATAAAGTTATTATTAATAAACGATCGAACTATAATTGATACAAAATATTTTAATGGATACAATGTGTACCTATTATTTATGCGGAAGGCTGCTCTCAACACGTCCTGTCAGTTCGACGCTCGAGAGAGCAATGGCGAGACCTTCCTTCCCATCGTAGACCGGTCGGCACTTCGGCAACACTCGGAAATGTTCGGTATATTCTGCTATCGGCCGATACCTAACGAAGTACACGAACAGGTCTAAACAGAAATAATATTACGATGCTCAAGAAAAAACGTTATTAAATTACAAATAGCAAATTGTATGAAACAATACGGAAAACATTCAATAATGTTCAAGAAATTACTGATATAAAGGGAAAATAATTCAGATTCTGCTGTTCGAATTCTATTGTGAATTCACAGCAAGAGCAACAAATGTCAACTCACGTATTTTTAAAGATAACCTCGAATTAATGTCAAAAATCAGGAATCTAGACTTCTCTCCAGCTATTCTTTCTATTTTTTGTACTTTTAACACTCGAAAGACAATTTAATTTAATGTTTGAAGATAATTTAATCTTACCTGTTGCAGACACGTGGAAATCAGACGAAGCTTCGAAGAGGAATGCTGTACTGCGCCACAAATCGACGCACTCGCTCACACAACGACGAGTCTGATTGGTCGAAATAAGAGGACGCCAACATGGCGCGACCAATCACAGCCATTGATAGAAGTTTCAAAGTGCTTCGAAACATTAATACTAATCGTAAGGGAAAGGTTCGTTAAAAATTATCAACGCCATATTGAAATAAAGTCAACATTACTTTTCTCAACTTTAAACACCAAAATATAGGAAACAAAGTAGAAAAAATATAAGATATTGACGGGATTTGAGAAATCATTGATATAAAAGCAGAATAAATGAAGGAAATGTTAGTTTAATTCGTATTTATATCGCTATAATAGTAAAGACCGAGAAAATTAATTATCACGATATATAACAATAAATTACGGGAAAAATGTACTAAAAACATGAAAAAATGCAAAAATATTCGAAAAATCATTGATATAAAGGGAAAATAATTCAGATTCTATTCTTCCAACTTCATTGTGAATTCACAGCAAGAGCAACGAATTTCAACTCACGTATTTTTAAAGATAACCTCGAATTAATGTCAAAAATCAGGAATCTAGACTTCTCTCCAGCTATTCTTTCTATTTTTTGTACTTTTAACACTCGAAAAACAATTTAATTTAATGTTTGAAGATAATTTAATCTTACCTGTTGCAGACACGTGCAAGACGGACGAAGCTTCGAAGAGGACTGTTGCACTCCACCACACTCCGCGCAACGCACCCTTTAACGATGAATCTGATTGGTCTAAATAGGAGGACGCCTTAATGAAGTGACCAATCACAGGCATTGGTAGAAACTTTGAATTGCTTTGAAACTTTAACATTAAAAGAATGGAAAGATTCGTTAAAAATTATCAACGCCATATTGAAATATGATCAAGATTACTTTTTTCTCTTTAAAGCACCGAAATATAAGAAAGAAGATAGAAAAATACATAAGATATTAATGGTATTTAATAAATTATCACCATGAAAGCAGAATAAATGAGAAATATGTTATTTTAATTCGCATCTGTATCGACAAAATAGAGTATAAATTTTCAGCTTACGCATTTCTGAACACAATGTGGAAATGATGTCAGAAGTCACGACTCCGGTCTTCTCTTCAACTTTGTCTTCTGTTTTTTGTATTTTTGATACCTAATACACAATTTCACTACCACTATCACTAATTTCGCCCCTACAGGGGCCGGCGATTTTTGGGGGCTTATCTGTCCCCATGTTGCCCAACGAACACTATCGTCCACGCGCATTGGGGATGGGTTGGCAGCGCTGCCAACCCCAAACACCGCGCATTTTTAAATTTCTTCTTCTTTTCTTTTCCATACTTTTACTTCTGTAAACTTATCTCTCCATACTGTTATCGTGGCCGGTGTGTGTGTGTGTACGTGTGTGTATGTGTTAGTGTGGCCCCTTTTAGTCGCCTCTTACGACAGGCAGGGGATACCGTGGCCGTATTCTAAGCCCCCCGAGCCACAGGGGGTAATACACAATTTAATATAATATTTACACATATTCACACATACGAGCTGCGAATGAGCACTCGGTCGAGCGCAGAAAATGAACGAACTGCGTCCTACAGAAAAAACGAGGAACTAAATTTGTGGTCTGTTTTATCTTTTTGACGTCTTTCGCGAGTGAAAAATCAACGAAATCGTAGAATACACTATTTTTCTAAACGAAAGCTTGTACGTACATTTGTATATATAAAATAGCCTTCTTTAAATCGTTTATTGAAAATGTAGCTTTATGCTGAATCATAACATCCTTCACTTTTATTTGTGTACATACATACTCCTTTGTCACACTTTAGCCAATGATTGACAGATGGAGTAAAATGGAAGATCGTGTATTTGTTTAAGGTTATACAATACTATTTTGTTGGTCGATTTGTTTACGATTGAAGCAATTATTTTTGTAAAAAAGCAATAGTTGTGTTAGTAGATAAGAATTCATATGTAGAATATTGTTCAATACGGCACAAAATTTGTTGCCAAAATGAGTAAGATGTATACAACCGCCAATCTCTCTGACAAGGAATTAAAGGAACAAGGAAATCGTCTTTTCAATCTTCACAAATATGAGGATGCTGCGTACTGCTACACCAAAGCAATTGTGAGTCCCACTATGACCATATGCAGGCAAGTTACGACACTGCATCTTATTCCTGCAGATCAAAAATCCAACCCAAGCGTTATACTTTACGAACCGAGCTTTGTGTAACCTAAAATTGAAACGATGGGAATCGTCCTGTCAAGACTGCAGACGTGCTCTTGACATCGATCCATGTCTGGTAAAAGGTCATTTTTTCTTGGGTCTTGCTCTTCTTGAAATGGAACTTTTCGGCGAAGCTGTCAAACATTTACAAAGAGGTATGTATGCGACTCTTTGGTTAGGAATTTTACTGATTTTTTATTGATATACTTATTGAGGAGATATAGCTGTATAGCACAGTTGCAATTACTAATGTATTCAGTTAGTTCTATGATATATCTGTTGTATTATAATATTATTAAATAGAGATGTTTTGTAAATGTTCTTTTTTATGACATTTATGGTTTTTACACGAATGTAAAACTTATCCCTCACATGGTTGTATATCTTGAATGCCATGGAATAGCTGTGGATTTGGCTAAGGAACAAAAGTTGAACTATGGAGATGATATGACCAGTATTTTAAGACAAGCACGAAAACGTCTATTTCAATTGAGAGAAGAACAGAGGATTGCTCAAGATATTGAACTGCAATCATATTTAAACCAGTTAATAGTAGAAGATGCTGAAAGAAGCTTGGCTGCTTTAAAGGAACAAGAAACAGCAAAAGAAACAAATGGTAAAATTGAAGGGGAAGGTGTGTCTAATGAATTTGCAAGGAAAAAAGAGGAGATAGAAGAAAAAAGAGATACCTGTATGGCTCAGCTTAATGATTTGTTTGCAAAAGTTGATGAAAGAAGAAGGGTAAGTTGATACTTATTAATTTTCAAAGTAATGCTTTAACTGCATTACAAGTGAAAATAATCCTATTTTGTTTGTGGTCTCTGTAAACACATTTAACAGAAAAGAGAAGTACCTGATTATTTGTGTGGAAAGATTAGTTTTGAAATTTTACAAGAGCCTGTAATTACACCAAGTGGAATTACATACGAACGAAAAGACATTGAAGAACATTTGCAAAGGGTGGGACACTTTGATCCAGTTACTCGAGTTCGCTTAACACAAGATCAGCTGATTCCTAACTTAGCTATGAAAGAAGTAGTAGATACGTTTCTGCAAGAAAACGAATGGGCATTATATTATTAATATGTACATTTAGGTCACTGCCATATGATAAATAACTATACATACAATGATTATTTTTTTGTCCTGTTGATTTACACAAATGTGCATATCATTATCTTACAGTGAATAGATCTTGCATTTGTACAAACTTCAATCTGAGTTTTCATCTATAGCTGAATATATTTAGTTTATTGTTATTTGAACAATTATTAAGCCATTGAACAGACATAATAACAATGTTATTAATAAAACCACTTTCTTTTATAAATGTTTCTTAAATTGTGAGTGAATATTAATGTTAAATATTAAAAATAGCACACAATACTCTTAAGTGGGTTGTTAGCAAGTATGAATCGTACAAGAATATTATAATTGTATATCTTCTTTTTCCTATAGATGATAAATAAATTTATCTTATGGTGAATAAAAAATAGTTTATCATTTACTAATTATTTATAAAATTATTGTTTCAGTCCTAAAACTTCTTTACAAATAAATTACATACATTTATATAAATATAAATTAGTATGTATTATGTAAAAAAATTTACATGTCAAAAGGATTAAATCAATCAATTTTTTTTAGTAAATTGAATGTTAAGAAGTAATGAAATTTAATGCAATGATAGCAGTAATTCCAGCTACAGTGGGTGGTATATAATATTGATAAAAAGATGGATGATTTGCTGCTCCCATTGAAAGTACAATCCAACCAACAAAATATAATATGCTAGACAATAATTGTGATCGAGTCCCCTGGTGATTAGTAGGAACTTGCACCCATCCTAGTGTGCTACATGCTACTAAAATTATCCAGCTTTGAAGTAACAGAGGATCTTCCGTGGAAAGTCTCATGTCATAACTGAAATAAATTTATAGAAGATATAATTACAACAATTTAATACCGTATTTTTTTATATGCACCTAAATATATATAAATATCTAATATAAAAATTAATTCCAAACCTGAAATTTTTTGCCCAAACAAGTACAGATGGTATAGCTGGAATGGCAGTAAAACACCAGAGTATGAAGACAATAAGATGATTAAATATTTTCTGTCTTGTATTTTCGTGTTCTTCGGGATCATTTCCCAAATTTCTAAACTGTCGTATTAAATTAAAATGTTGTAACGAAGCCATTAATAAGTCTTCTAGATAATCTTCATACATTCTTGTTAAATTTAAAAAATATAGAAACACTGAAATTATCATAGCCGAAGCTCCACAGGTTGCTGGTACTAAAGATAAAACAAGAATCGCAGTAATAAATGGTAGTTGATTTAATCCACCAAGTAGCCAATCTGACCATGTTGTTGAAAAAGCTATTGCTCGTGCTAAAAATCTAAAAAAATTAAAAAATTTTCGTATAAAATCTAATGTATATGTATTAATACAGTTAAATTTTCTTACCTAACAGCAATACTATGTGCCACTGATCCAAGAAATATAATAGAACAACATACTCCAATAGTAAGTGCACAAAGAATAGCTGTAGCAACTAAACTTTCCAATACTAAGTTATAGTAAAATGAGAAAAATATAGTAATCAATATTACTGGAATTTGTTCATGACCAGGATTAATTCTGATTGACAAAAATACTAAGAGTAAACTAATAATTGTTGTATATAGAAGATACCAACGATCTCTTACGATACAAGAAATCTGATCTATAATACCACTTTCTCGAATATTAATTTCATAGAGACATGCCGGGTCTAAAGTTATTCTTAAGCTAGCGGAGATGTTAGAAGAATCATATTTGGTTTGAACTTTCAATGTTTTCGGCCCATTATCCCTAAACATTAAAAATTCTCTAATATAATAGATTTTTGAAATGACAGTAATTTAATTAGTTTTTTGTATACTTACACAACAGTAAAAAATTGCATTTGTGTAACTCCAACACTCCATGGTTCTATTAATTCAACAATTGCATGATGTTTTGGATCTGTACACCCAGATGCTTTAAGTTCAACTGCTACAGCATTTATATTTTCAAGAGTGGCATAATATCTAATATGTCCATAATCAGACTTTCTCACTTGAGATTTCGTAAATAAATTTTTTAAGACAGGTAAACCACCTCTAACAGGTATAACTCTTGTATCATAAGGATATAAATTAACATTTACTTCCACATAATTTTCTAAATCATCTGGAGTAATCCTTACTACAATGTGTGTTACACCAGGGTATTTTATTTCTTCAAGATTCAAATCAACAGTTTTTCTTAAACGGTGTAAAGGATCTACTGAAATCCTTGTCTTATTTGTTAAATTCCAGCCCCAAGTGCTAAACAGAATACTTTAAGTAATGCCATGATAAATGTATAACATAAAATAAAAGGTAAAGAAATATTATTACCAAACTCTTGATTGCCTTTCTATGGAAGATGCTGAACATACAAATAACCAATCTTTAGATTCTAAATTTATAGTGTCGATGGTTAAATATTCTGGATCTTCTCTTAGTCTAATCATAAGATAAATGGAAGATATCCTCTTAGATAAATTTTTACTAGTCCATGTATAATGTCTTCGAATATCTTCTATCCATTCACCACCAGATTCAAACTGTATTGTTGGTTTATAGGTATATAATTTTTTACCGGAAGTACGCTGTAAGAACAATTAGAAAATTAGATGAAGGTTTCTGTATATAAAAAAGACGTTATAAGAGTTTCGTACGTGATAAAAATGATATGATAAAGCCTCCATTCTTTCGTCAGGTTCAGAGAAAATTTTCGGAGGTTTTTGAGAATAATTGACCGAATCAAATAATGATCGCACAACAGCAAGTACTAATTGTTTGCACCAAAGAATACATAGATGATCTGTAGATTTCCAAACATCAGGTATAGCAGTAGAAATAACATTTATATCTGCTGTAGAATCTAAAATTTGTGTTGGAGCCACAAGTATATCTCGTGGTCCTCCTCCTATTGATACTACACTTGTGCCTGCTTCTTTTATTTCACTCAAGTGATCATTCAAATTTCGATAATAAGCAGCTAAAGTACTATCTAATACCAACACTGGTGTATGAGGTGCAGCCAAAGTAATAATAATACTTGCAACACTAGCATTTAAATTTGGTGTTAATACCAGAGAACCTTTAGCTATAATACCTCCCTGAAAAAAATAAAATGTAGTTTAACATTCTTCCTGAAGTAAGTATATTTATATATTTACCATTGAATGTCCAATAAGTATAATATTCTCTACATTGGTCTTGTATAAACTTAAAATTTTTTGTATACAATATGAAACATATAATGTTTCATCCATTAGTACACCTTGAATTAATAAATAAATTGTTAATTATTTAAGAAGATATAAATACATGGCAAATTTTGCAGTAGTAAATAGTTTTTCCATTATTCTGTATATTACCTCCATATAAGGCAGAATAGTCTTTGCCAAATGAAACTGTGAAATAGTCAAAATGAAATGGAGTTCTGTTTTTTAAACTTTTCCTTAAACTCACAGAAGCCAGAGATCTTACTGAAAGAAAAAGAATTTGTTTGCAATATTTCATATTTAAGATATCAAAATATTGTTATCAAATTTTAAAAACCTTGCTCATGAGATCCTGCATTGCCTGGTATAAAAAGAACTGGTATTCCTGAGAAATACATCCTTCTAAGTTTTTCTGTAATGAAACCTTCTCCATATGCATATAATCCATATCTTCTATATTGTTCTTCTAGTTTGTTATCCAAAGAGATTCTCTAATGTTTACAAGCATAATATAATTTGTTTAAATAATTAATCAGACTGTTATTATAAAATTAGTAGAGCTAGTTCATGTTTTAGCACATGTTTTAATTAAAGAATATTATATTGTATATACATACCACATACTGAGGATATTCAAACATATATGTCATATCACAGGTATTTTCCTCAAAATCCGTAACATAACGAGCAGCTCCAAGCATATACAATAGGAGGAATAACATTAACAATAAAAATAATGTAGTATAAATAAATAAAGATTTAATTCGAATCATTTTTGTTGTTTATAACAAGGTCAATTTTAACAAATCGTAATGGTTGTATTCTTCGTCATGTTCATAATGTAAAAATTGGAGTAAAAACGAATTTACGTCATATCATAATTTAAAATGATAATATACAATTAAACAAATAGCTGATTGACGAAAATCAACATATTTGAGTCACAAAGTTACAATACTGTAGCATTAGGTTAAATTGTCCGTGCAACTAAAATATCACTGCGCAACTCGTCATCGTTCTTATTATAAAACAGATATATTTACATACATAAAACATGGACATTAATCATTATCATATAATTTCTTATATATCAAAGCTTTATTTTTCAAATTTACAAGTTATATTGAAATCGAATACTTCATATAAGGATATATGGAAATGATTATAGTTGTATGTCAATTTGAAGAATGCAAATGTAATTTATGGTATATTATATTTTTATTACATATTCAAATTAATGTTTGAATTATTAAATAATATAGCTGCAATCATGCTCAATTTCGCTTTGCTCAATAGGATATGATAGTTTTCGGCAAATAGTTTCCACGAGTTCCCAATAGATGGCGCTAGTGTTCCCCAAATTCCAATATTTCAGTAGGTAAGTTGTTGAGTGGTTTGAGCAGTTTTCGTATAGATGGCACTACGGTCGAATTTTGTACCCCTTCCCCTTTCGGCGGGAAATTTAAATTTGCAATTAAATTATAATTCATATGTGATGTATCAACATATTAATTGTTATTTTATTGTTCTAAAGATGTCTTATTATTTTTTTCTACTACAGGTGTAAATAAACGGGTTTTCTGCAGCACTGATTTTAGATAGAATGACAACTTAAAAGATAGATGACCTACTCGTTAGTTACGAAACAGTTACTACCTTGAAGGGAGTTCGTTTAAAACTTCACCCCTTTCTGTTTTATTTCATATAACAGTGTATTTGTAACTATTTAAGTGGCTTATTATTGTGCTGTTTTCTTAAAAGTTAAGCATAGCGCAATATTTCAGGTAACTGATATTAACATCGTTCCAGAAGATCGCATCCAATAGAACAACTTATCAAGTAATAAGATTCATGCAAACGCGTCATAATATCAAGTATGCATTTGTGTGTGTATGTATGCTTAAGTACGAACACTTAAATTCGTTCACTGGTGCTGTTCGTTTTACGATTGATAAACGGTGAACGTAAGGTGTCGTTGGGACATTCGTTTCACAGTTCTGTGTTCCAGAAATTTCTGTAGGCTAGTGGATGCGATTTTTCATAAAAGATCATCTTGCTGCGTCTAGTTAAGGTTTCATATTACTTGAATCTTGCATTATTGATCGTAACTTTTTTCACAAATAGTATCCGATCAACTGTTTTCCAAAATGTCCTTGTTCGGATCACTAATGGGTGATCTTGATGATGATCCTATTTTTGGGTGAGTTAAAATTATTTTTAACTTGTTAATTTGTAATAGTAATTAAATAAACATACGACTCAAATAATTGTTTTCTCCATTCTCTGCTAAATGCTATTAAAATATTATGATATTAATATCATTGCTCAAACTCATGAAAAAAGTATTCATACGTTCATATAACTGTGAATTCATACGAATATAGAAGCAGTGTTATTGTTTAACATGTACTTAATATGTTCACATAAATTTCTATTTATTTAGTTTTCCACACAAATTTTGTTTCCATAGCAACTTGCTTTTGTTTAATATATTTATTGGAAATATGATATTTTTTTGCTTTATCTTGTAAAATTTTTGTAATATTTAATTGGCAGCATGATTTCTTAAAATTTATTTGTATATATACATACATATGTAACACGAATAGTTCAAGGAGGTTCTAATATAAAAAAATAATTACAAACAATGATATCTATGTATGTTTTATTACAGGTCTCACATGCAATCCATGAGACATATGAATGACATGATGTATTCCTTGTTCAATGACCCATTCGGAATGATGGGTCATCCTTGTCACAATGCCATCACAGATGGTAACCATAGGAGCAGAAGTCGTCAAAATGAACTTCAAATGATGCCTTTTGGATTTCCACCAATGCCATCATTTAATATGGGCAATTTGTTTACAAACTTTGTATGTAAATTTGTTATAGAAAACATTTGGAGTATAGAGTAGAACTGGAAATAATTAATTCTATTATCTGAACTATATTTCAGGATAATATGGCATCGGGTGCAAATTGTCATTCTTACACTTCTAGATCTGTAATGACTATGGCTAGTGGTCCTGATGGTCTCCCACAGGTTTACCAAGCAACCATGTCTACAACAACTGCACCTGGTGGCGTAAAAGAAACAAAGCAAACAGTTTGTGATTCCCGTACTGGAGTGAAAAAAATGGCTATTGGTCATCACATTGGAGAAAGAGCACACATTTTGGAAAGAGAGCAAAATGTTCACAGTGGTGAACAAGAAGAACATCAAGAATTTATTAATCTTGATGAAGGTAACTAGTTTTATACATATGTTGTTACTTTTTTGTACATACGAAATGAAATAATGTATAAATTCTGTTTTGTAGAAGAGGCAGAGAGTTTCAATAACGAATGGGAAACACGTACGCGCCGGACTGTTGGCGCTATAGGAAATTCTCATTATGGTAATCATCATGGTTCTAGAAACCGGCCTGATCATAGACAACTGGCTTTACCTGATGCATCAGGAAGGTTAGTTTCATAAATTTATCAAATATATAGTATATAGAATCTTGAGAAAAACAGTATTTTCCAAAGATGGGATAATCCTTAAACATGTGCGTAGTAGTTAATTTAACGAAATTTCAACATTTTTTTACTATATTTTTTCTTATAACTACATGCATGTAATAGGGTATGTAGTAACTGTATATACATATAACATGAAACGTGAAAATACGTTGCATATAATTGATGAAATGATATTATATATGCATGTAGAGTAGTATCGAAAGTATAGCAGTATTACTGATAAATTTCAATTTATGCAGTGTGCATAAAAAATCCAGAAGACGAACCGGTAAAAAAAAGTGAAGGGCAACATTGGATCGCATCATCGTATATCACTTCTATCTCAGTCTATGCATTCCCGATCAAAATTTTGTATCAAGCATTAAAATAAAAAACAAGCAGGCTTCAGTTTTAATTTCTTCTTTTCAGTTGCAATGTTGCATGATCTAGGTATATGTGCATTGCATTGTAGTATTTATAGTATTTTTGTGATATATTAATACTTTCCATTTTTTGGTTCACTTATCTTACAACATTCAAACAGAACTATCATGTTTCTGTCGTATAATTTATGTACTATTATTTATTAACTCGTGTGAGTCAGTACAAGAAGGATAATTATTTGTGACATATTTTGCAACTTTAAATCTAAGTAATAGTATTTTATAGTTATGTAAAATCGTCAAAATTATAAGTAAAATAAATAAAGCAAATATGTCATTGAATTACATAATACTGCTCTTGATGTTTTTTTTTATTGGAAACAATTTTGGTTTCGTCTCTGTGTTTTATTTTTCTTTGTATATGTTGTTGATTCGCTTATTATGTGCTTCCATAGTCGATATTCTAATTCTTCGAGACGGACACCTTCTCTTAGACGTAGTTTAAAATCGCCTACGTCTAGAACATATAGCCCAACTCATACTTTAAGGTAAGTTTCTTATTTCTTTGTACTTTCATTTTCTGCTCATCTTTTTAAAACATGTCCATGTGTTTATATAATGAAATTAATGATAAATGAATGAAAATATACATCATAAATGGAATCTTATATCCATAAAATAACATTCTGTAACATATTGTATAATTACTACATTGTAGTATGATAACTTATGGTATTTAGAAATAATTGCAGTGTGGATTTCTTGCATGCAACTGTTTGTTTATCAATTGATTAGTTCTTGAAGGTGGTAATAGGTGTATTTATTAATTTTTCTTATTATTTTTCAACATAAAATAACTTTGTTAATTTTAATTAAAAAATTCACCTATTGTTGTGATATACTGTTGTTATTATTAATTCTCATTTTATATCTGTATACATATACAGTAAAGTATTATTTAATTACTGTTTTACACTTTTTTTTTTTTTCGTTTTTATTATCTGTAATACAACAAAAACGTTGGTATGAAATGTACCATATATTGTGTATTGCAGGTACAGCCGCAAATATTAATAAAATAAAAACATAGTACACAGCGGTGACACTTATGCAACGTAAGTACGTTGCTCTATATTTTAAATTAATGTTTAATATTCTTACAGTTTTATTGTAATTTTCTGGATATGTTTCCAATATTATTAATGATTTTTAACCCAGCAGCACACGCATTGGGGTAAAAAATTACCTTAGAACCATTTATAATACTGTCACATAAATACGGATAGTCACAGGCTTTTCCTTTTTTCGATACTCTTCAAGCACATTCCTTACCAACGATAACAATCATTTTTCTCCCTGCGTGTGCTACCGGCTTAACTAAAATGAGACCTGAAGTTTTTTACACATGGACTAATTACATCATAATTCATTCGAAACTCGATCTTTAAGTTAATAAGATGAACTATATTTCAATATTTTCGTGTTTACAGTTCAAATTCAGCCGATGAAATAGAATCTGCTAGTATTAAATCTACACCAGCAGCCTCTGCAAGTGTAGTAGGAAACCGAAAACGTAAACATACACCGAGTACCAAAGATTGCAAAAAAAGTCACATTGTGTCGGATAGTAATGTTTAGAATTTCTATTAAATTTCTTTTATCTATGTTTTAACTTTACTGCAGAACTTCGGTGAAGTTAATCTCGTATGATACGGTTTCATGTAATTTCTGTAGTGATTACCAATAATAGAGGGATTACTGATTTGCTCTGATGAATCTAGAAAGAGAAACAATAGGTCCTGTATATTCTGTAAATTAAAATAAACTGAACGAATTTTTTTAATTTTTAACTTCCTTCTAAGAAAAGAAAGTATTTTTATTTAGGATATGAAAAATAAACTTACCGAAGTTTTACTGCAGTTATTTTCCATTTTACATATAAACTATTTCTTAGAATCTCTGTGAATGAATAAAATATGTGTAGAGTCTACAAAGTTATATATCGAAATATTTGAAAAGTATGAGTGTAAGAATATTATGGAGTATTTAACTGTTTTGGATGTCTCTACAGTTACATTATCACTATAAAAATTAATTTGTTGTTGAAAATTACTGTTGAGGTATTATCTTTTGGTTTTCTAAATCGTGAATGATCAATTTTCAGATCTTGTTTAAAAAATGTATTTATGAATTTATAAATATATTTTAGAGTGCATCCAATAATGATATAAAAACAAAGTATTTTAAAGTAGTGTATTTATCAATAAACGTACAATTTAATGTAATAAGTTTTTTTCATTATGCTTTATTTAAATAAAGTCACAGATTTAGTATAATTGAAACCCCGTTATGCTAAAAAAAAATAGAAGAGAGCAAATTATCCCTAATACCACTACTTTCGTGTGTTTTTATATAAGCAATAAACTAATTTAATTTTATTTAATATCCCTGCAATGAAAACATTATCAAGTTTACAGTAAAGTTCAAAATCATATAAAATGAAATATTTCGTATTAAATGGTAATAAACTGGACTGATGTCTTAAAAAAATTATCTCAAAAAATTGTTTAAGTACCTTGTTAATATTTTCATTCAACCACGTCACAACAGTGCGTAAAATACGTATATATTTTTATTCAATTTCATTAAAAAATATCATGCCCCCTATATATCGTAACAAGAATAAAAGTAATTTTTATAACATATAGCAAAGCATTAATATGAAAATCAAAAAAAGAAAGAAAAAGTAAGAGGAAAGCTGGCAAAAAAAGTGATATATATGTTCCTTGCACCATGTAGGGCGAATTGATGTTTGTTAATTGTCTTCTGCTAAGGTGTTGATCCTTGAATTAATAGCCAGGAGTTGTGCCACGAAGGCTGAATCGCTCATAACTGTAGCAAGAGCAGAAAGTAAATCTTCTACTGTATCTTGTGACAAGTCTAACTGCCGAGCACATTCTGCGATGATTTCTTTTTCCTCGGTATCGGGATTAATCTGTAAATATATTTGTTTAATTAGTTCACGCTAAGTACCGAACATTATTTGATGCTGTATAATCGAATGGAACCGAACCTTCGGTGAACCGCAAAATTTGTTGAACGCCATTTTGATTCTTTTCTTGCCGTTGCTAGTTTGGTAAAAAACTGTAAAAGTTTGTGCATTATTCATGTCTAGCACAACAGGAAAATATATACCAGCTGTAACATGACCTTTAGTATCTCGCGCAAGGAGACTCCTGAAGTTGTAAACTAAATTTCTACGTTCCGTAACATCGATGGCAGTTAAATATGGCCTTGCCACGTATATAAGAGCAACTTGTGTTCTCTCCAAGGTGTCAGATCGAGTTTTCCTTTCATGCCATTCGACATAATCGGGGTCATTAGCGCATAGAAAGTAATTGTACTCTTTTTTACAATCCGGCTCGTCAGACTGAATAAACCAGCCTGTATGTGGATACAATTTATCTTCCATCACAGTAATTACTCGAGCTACATGATATCCGGGATCGAGAAGCATAACTCCTCGGCGCCCGCTAATATTAATTTTCAGGCACACAAGTACATGTTCCTTTTCTCCACTGTCTGCAGCGGGTGGTCCACCGACGTAATTAGCAACATTATCTATCGTCTGTTAAATATCACACGTTACTATACGATTCTTAATAACATAGGAAATAAGTGATAATAAATGATAAACAAACCTCCTCGCAGGACACTAAGTAGAGGCCACTTGCTATGTCAGGAAATCGTTTGTTTAAACCCTTTAACCGATGTAGTAACTCAAACCCCAAACCTACGCAAGTATGATGTTCACGTGTTATAAGTGGTTGATATTTGTGATAAAATCTCTCCAGTACGCTTTCACCGCTGGCAGCGTAATCCTTATAGAATCTGTTGTTTATAAAATAGAATTTTAATAGATGCCGCGGTATCCGGATAAAACATAGAAAAATATGCTATACTACTTACTTAAGGAAATTGCCAACGGTGTCATAACGGTGCTCGCGCAGTAAGTGCTGCGTTTCCAATTCAACGCTGCCTGCTAATTCCTCATACTCTTCGACCGTTGAGACGGTCAGGGCTGGAGCTTCGTAATGGGCCCATACCGGCAGGGGTAGCGGCACACCCCTGATCCAGGGCCCGCGTGCCTGCCCCTGTGGCTGGCACCATATTTCTGCCGTCTCGAGTCAACTCGGCCATTCGCTTCCCCAGCGGCCAACTGTTGGCACGAAGCCATGCTCATCCCTGCAGCTGCTTATTGGCTCCACAGGGCTCTCTCCGTGTTTTATACTCTTCTCTCGCTCTATAAATAAGATTTTTTATTTCAACTTATTTGTAATGATCGTTATAATATTCTAATTGATCGAGCTGTAAGATAACTTGGCTGAAAATAGCACATTTATTTTTTTACTTCAACTAATATAACCCACGTTTTATTTTAAATAATTATTAATTCTATTGTTAAATATATTTACTGTAAGTCCACTGCTATTTAAGAACACGAATTAACACACTTCCGTATGAAAAAATTCGTGAAATAAATGTAGAAAAGAGGATCGGATTTGTCGTTGGCTTGGTATCCAACATGGCGACAGTATGTGCACAGTGAATCAATACACGACCAAATAGATATGTAACGTGCCACGTGTCTAGTACGACCTTCATCACATAATGCTACTATTCCTACTAATCCATTATCATTTTCTAGGTATTCTTTTTATAAAATAATTTACATTACCAATGTTGATCTTTCATTCCGGAAAGAAGTCATTATATCTTTACTGTTTAATATCTTTCAACCTTATTCAAAACAAATTAGTTGCTACATCGAAAATAATTACGTAAGAATAAAGGAAGGCTTATTTATTTAATGCTTTCATGGAATCGATATATCGTAACAATTTCAGAATAAAAAGATTTCAGAACTGAGTTTACATCTAGCAACAATACTGATGACAGTGGAAACATTTATGTTTACATTCTGCTTGGCAGATCTTATATGAGTATACACTGTTTAATTTCTGAATTATATTATGTATGTACATCATTATAATTCTGTATTTACCATTTGTTGCGTCACTAGACGTACTGACTCAATGCAAAAATATGCAATGCTTGAAGTGAAAGGCATTTCCCTCTTGAACTAGGGCACACAAGATGTTTGAAGTACACATATGGAAATTAGTGGAATAGATTAATAAGTTCTTGCTGAAATCTTGTTTACAGGGTACGACACGTGATAAAAAAATTTAAGTAAAATATTTAACTTACCCATACAATGAGCGCACCAACAAACAAAAACTTTCCCTGCTCCGAAGCTTGGCACAGTTCACACGTCCGAAGCCCAATCAGAACTAAGTGGTGGAATGTGAGCGGAAACTTATATACCTTCGGAACCCATCCCTCCACCCCCCGCTAAACCATTGATAGTTCACCACGTGACCGCTACTCATGTAATGTTTAAAAGACGCAATTGCGTGATACCATGATTTTTTATAAATAGACTAAGAAAGTTTCTTTTCCTCGTCTTACATTAAATACAATATGATATTACATCCTTTCTCGTATTACATCCGGTTGTACTTCACGTATCAGATAAGTGCGTTTTCATGTAATTCATCAAATGTATTATACATATTATACATACATATATAACGTATGTAACATTTATTTTTTGTTTTTTATACAGAATTTTAATATTACCAACGATATATACAGTTCATTTGTTATGGGAAAATTAATTTTTGATACGATTGGTTATATGCGTCATATCCTTAAAAATTATCCCGTTTTCCAGCTGTTCTGCTATCGAAGCCTACGTCAGCTCTGTCTGACTCAAATAACGTCACGATAAATAACGACTATATACATATGTATCTGGGTACACTAATATAATTAAATGGACTTCCTGGAAAAGCAATACATATACAAATATTATTCACATTTTTTTTTCTTTACCGCTAATTCATTGTCTGAAATACGTAACAAAATCTGACGAATCTCGACTTTCTTTGTACAGAAATCTTATCGCGATAAAACACTGCCAAGTGAACGTTGTTTTAATGAATCAGCTGACGTCCCAGACAGTTTGCAGAGGCATATATTTATGTTTAAATCCGTACGTGTATATATTTGCATACCCGCAAATTAATATGTATATAGTTTGCTTAAGTACATTAGCTATCGGCCACGTGATTATTGTATATGATGTCTGTTTAGATTAGAATTAGAAATTTAGAAATTTATACAATAATTGTTATTGATACGATTTCGATAACAATTTTGAAACAAAATAAAATCAAACGTTTTGATGTACTCGCGCTTTTGTAGAATTTAAGTTATTTTTTACTTTTAATAATTAAAACTAAAACAATTTGCAAAAACTTTGCTAAACTTTGTTCTTTATATCGCAACTACGTAATTGCGTAAGGTATAATATACATATGTATGTATATATGATTCATAGGGGTCAATGACGCAAAAAACTATATTTTGCTGCTTGCTAAAAGTCTTTGCACTGTTATCATAAGAAATATATATATATACATATATGTATAAATACACATACGTAGGTTGAATATGCATTTAAATATCGTAATGACAATAAAGTTGATTTCTTAATTGTAATATAATGTTTTTAAATATTTCCAACGAAATATATGTACATATACACATATAAAATGTTTTGATAATTCTCTTTGTTCGAATCGCTGATCTTCCTCTTACTGATATTAATAATGTGATAAATATTCGCTATGTTAAAAATATGTACTCTGCAGTTTACACAAGTTCAAAGTCTATCGTGTAGTTATTTGATAAGCTTCTTCGCAAATGATAACCTATCTTTAATAATCCCAAGCTATTACGCATTATCTGTACCATTTAATCGATACAAGCAACTAGAAACATTTTAATATGAAAGTACTATAATGATATTTTCATGTCGTTTCTGATAATGATTTATTCTTTATCTAATCGTCAATATCAATAATTAGCCTCTTTTTTAAGTATTGTTATGTAAATACATGATTAAATATATAAATATGAAACCTAAAAATATACATTCATACGTACCTTGATTTATCTCATCGTCGGTAATAGCTTTTTTATATTTTCTTATGATTATAAATTAGATTTTTAGATTTTAGTAAATATCATTTAAAGTTAAATATCTCTGTACGAATTCGATTATTTTCACGGACACGTGATATGACGAACCAATCACATGATCCAGCTACGAATATCGATGTGGTGCATGAGGATGAGATTGAAATTTGCTCGTACATACACGGTATGATACACCGTACAACGTAATACATATACATATAAGTGTATTGCTAATGTTTTAACGGTACGAACTTGCATAAGAAATTACTGTATTTAATGTCATTAGCATATTCTACAATTATCGTGAACAGATGTTTCATATATTCTCGTTTGTTCGTTTCATTTCATTATAAAAATAATATATTTGACATAGTGTAATATAGCTCTGTGCAAGTGAATATTTTTCTGCTCTACACAATGTGCATTGTTATCTTCAACAGTAATTGTATTGTCTTGTAATGATAATACAAGTTGTATAATGGTCTCTTTTATTTTCAACAATTAATTTGTTCAGTATACGAGCATATGGAATCATTACTACAATGCAACTCAATTAAATTCTTGTAAATTTCAGGATATACAGAGGAAACACTACAATTAAAGGAAAATGAAGTTGACATGAAGTTATTGCTATATAATATTCTTTTATATACAAGTCCAACTTGGGACAATTGTAATGCTATATTAGAAAGATGACAATATTTAATTAGGAAATAATTATAATGCAATTACACGTATATTAGAAAGTAATGTACCATTTTTCTTTTTTCTATGCATATACCTGAATATTTGAAACATATTTTATCTTTACAGAAATTGGAACAATTCATTAATCATGTCTCTGTTGGAAGAAATATCTCATCATCCGCTATTGGCAAATGAGCCAATGGATAATTTATATCTTGCACTGATACAATGCTTTGCAATTATATTGTGCGGGTAAATTTTCTTTAATAGTTTAAACCTTATATTATTTTGTTATAACTTGAAATGTCTATATAAAATTAACATATATTTACCTATTTCAGATATGTTGCAGGAAGATTTGATGTTATTACTAAAACTGAAGCAAATGGTTTAAATACTTTTGTAGGAACATTTGCTTTGCCTTCCTTAATTTTTATGTCACTTGCAAAACTTGATTTTAGTTTAGTAAACTGGAGATTCCTTCTTGCTGTGTTATTAGCTAAAAGTTGTGTATTTTTTATTGTTCTTGGCGTATCTCTAGTCATTAAAAGGCCATCAAACCCTGGTTGTGCTGCACTATTTGCAATATTTACTACGCAAAGTAATGATTTTGCCATTGGATATCCTATGAGTATGTGAAATAAAAAATATACTATATAAATGTATATATGTATTAATAAGATGTAACTAACAATGATACTTTTATAGTTGATGCTCTGTATGGAAACACTCATCCTGAATATGCTGCATATCTGTATCTAATGGCACCCATATCTCTGGCTATTTTAAATCCAATTGGTTTTGTGCTATTAGAAATTGGCAAAAGTTCTGGTGAAAATCATAGAAGTTATAAAAATATGATTTATTCCATTACAAAAGGAATTGCATTAAATCCAGTGCTTCTTATGACTATACTTGGTATTCTAGGAAATCTAATCTTTAAACATCTAGTACCACCTGCACTTGCAACTGTTCTTGATGTATTTGGTAATGCTTTCTCAGCCAGTGCTCTTTTCCTATTGGGATTAATGATGGTGGGAAAGGTACACAAATTGAAGGGCACAGCTCTTGTTATACCAGGCATATTAATATCAGTAAAATTGTTGGTGCTTCCTTTAGTAATAAGAGAATCCATTATTCTTTTAAATGCTGGCGAAAATGCTACAGCTACTCAAGATTTGAGTACATATGGATTTTTGTATGGTACTATTCCAACAGCACCGGCTTTATTTATCTTCACTCTTCGATATAATCTTGAAATTGATTTAATTGCATCAGCAATGGTTGCTTGTACCTTCTTATCTGCTCCACTCATGTTCATATCAGCAAAATTAATTGATGCTGTTTCTTCTGGAAACACCCCAACAGATTATTCACATCAATTGAATGTATTTTCTTTTGATGTTAGCATTGCTTCAGCAACAATTTGCGTATGGTTAATCCTTTGTTTCGTTGGATTAGGACGAAAAAAGTACAAATGTGTTACTCACCAATGTACATTGTGTATTATAATTGCACAGGTTTGTAGTAATTTAGCTTAGAATATGTATAATGTACAGTCGAAATTTTTATTAAAAAAAATATAATTTCAGTTTGCTACAGCGATTGGTGTCATAATTTGGACCAAACTTGAGTCTCATAATAACGGATCGATATTATGGTAATTTATACTATTTTTAACTGCGTTTATTTATTAAATTTATACGCATATTATTTCTGAATTATTATTTAGGTATATACAGTTCATTTTGATCACAACGGGAGTATATGCAAGCCGTATGTGGACGACTGCGATAGCTGCAACCTTGTTGTATTTAAGTTCTCGTTCTTTGGACTTCGTGCGAAACGTACAGAAATGGTTTTATCCTATTGGATGGGGGTACGATGGAATTGTTTGTGTTTATAATTGTTATGACAAAATAACTATAAATAATTTTTATTTACAGGGTTCCACTTTTGATAGTAACCATAATGTGTAGTACGATATCTCCAAAGAACTCTGACCTTGATTTTAGAAATCCTAATTTTCAGCTTGGTAGAATTCAAGCTGCAACTTCTACTTTTATACTGACATTTTGTTTTATCGGTACGTTTTGATATGTAATGCACAAAATTAAAAGGTGTAAAATCCATTTACATTCTTTCTTTTACAGTAACACTAGGCTGTTTGGTATTACAACAGCGGTATCAACGCCGACATGCTTCGACGTTTTATACTAATTTACCAGATAATGAAGAACATTCTAATAATGATGGTATAGAAAGATGTTTGGTAGATGTTGAAGATCTTGTTTCTTCAACTTCACCTACACCAATGTAAGTAACTTTATACAGAAATCGACGTGTGTTGAAGTTATATTATAATTAATATTTAATAATATTAGTATCGGCTGCGAATATCCAAATGGGTGTTCAGATGGAGTATGCAGAGGCAGCAACAATGAAATTGATGACTGTGACGCACATTTAAACAATAATAACGAAGAAACCGATCCACAGTCTCTTCGACACCTCGTGTTCCTTATTTTACTTCTTTGTTCTATGTTTATTGTGAGTTAATAACAAAATTGTTCAATGGTAAAGTTACAAATCAATCAACATTATATAATATTTTATGGCAGGGCTTATCCATATCAATTGGAACATTAATAATGGAGCAGTTGACTGGCGTTTATGCGGAACTAGCATTCTTGGATGTAGCTTTGAACTTTGGCCAATCATTAATTGCATTTGCCATTTTTGGATTAGATCCCGGCTTTGGGAAATTAGGATGCTGGTTACGACGGATGTGTCGTAAATGGCGCGGTAATAACACATTTCTACCGTTAGTAATGTTAAGTTTTTGTAATATAGAATATTATTTCATGTTTGTAGAAAAAGAAATGCAGCTTCCTTCCGAAGATGCGCTAAGTCCAGAAGTAAAGGCAATACGGGATCAATTTAATCGTTGTCACTTAAGTGAATGTCGTGCTCGTATAGCTATATGTCGTAGACGTTTGTTAAAAGTACACAGAGATGTTTTCACCGGAACCGATTTAGTTAATTGGTTACTCGAAGCTGGTATTGCGCAAAACAGAGACGAAGCTGTACAATATGGTCGGAGCTTATTAGAAAGCAGAGTTTTGCAACACATCGATAGTACTCATCACTTTCACGATCAGAACATGCTTTACACTTTCGATACCTAAGATATTTTGAATGAGTTCCATGCAATTCAAATGTATTTTACATCATTTATTTTTTTAACGCTATTTTTTTCAATTCTACAAAGTAGAGTGTTTTCATGGTAAAAATATTTTTAACTTATACTATTTTACTTTAATATATAATTAAAAATTTTTTTGTGAAAATTTATTTATATGTCCTTTTTTGGATTTGATAATATTAATTTATTGTAAAAATATTTTCTTTGTGTCTGTGTTTTTTCTGTTGGAGTCAATCATTAGTAACATATTTTTTATTACATAATTAAACATTTTAGTACAAAGTAACACAATAGTATTTAAATTTAATGAATGCCAAAGACGAATATTAACACTTTGATGTGGTTTTCATTAGTTTATTTCTATCCATTGTATAGAAATTAATTTTCTTTTAGGTATAAAATGCAACATAAAGTTACAACAGTTATAAACATGAAATATGTGGCCATCAAAGTGTTAATGTCTAATATTCTACTTGAGAATCCTAGTAGTCTGCACAGTATTGAGATAGTATTCTTTTTTTGAAAATAGCGTTTTAAATCATCTATATTTTTTACAAAACTTTTAAAATTTATATGACTGAATTTTAAAAATAGTATATTACCAAATATCTGTTAAATATTTTATTAGGTGATTTTATTACAATGCTGAAATGTTACATATTCTATGTATCAGCTTTAACATGTTATAAAATGCAAAATAAATATATAAATAAATGTTGCTTAATATATCAATGTTGTATTTTGAATTTCATATTCATATCCAATTTATGCAGGGAAAATGTAATTATAAATTACTTAAATACACAAATCATCATCTGGATCCTCCTCATCAAAGTCATCTACATCTTCTGGTTGATAGTGAATTTTAGATGTGTTTGTTGTATTCGCGTTAAGCATATATGGAAACACTATTTCTTCTCTTTCTTTCATTTCATTTTCATTTATTTCTATTCTAAATGAAGCTTCAACTTTTTGTTTTTGATCTTTACGCATTGAATCTAATTTTTTATTTTGAGTTTTAAGTTTCTCTGATTGAATTTCATAAGTTGTATTATTCTGATTAATTAATTCACGCTGTTGTAAAATTCCTCCACCTATTTTACGGTGCATAAGTTCTGCTATGTAATTAAAATTGTTATTTATCTGTCCTTTTGAAGATTTTAATAATTTTACATATGTACTTCCTAATGTTTCAATGCTTGGTACCTTATTCTGTACAAAATCTCTTCTATAAATACAAATTATTTGTGGTACTTGTCTATTTAATTCTTTTAAGAACCATAAAGCTTTTGACAGACCAATAAATAAAATTAAAGATGTCAAACAATCAATGACCACTGTAGCATTTGTATCTATAGTTTTCAGAATACATACAACACTATGAATATCATGTTCATTCATATTATTTACATCAATTTCATTTACATTTATTGTGTAATGGTCATCAATAATAACGCTATTTGAAGAAAAAGAATGAGGTTCATTTTGATACGTAGATTTTGGATCAGAAAACAATAACACATGAAAGATACGATTAGGATCTTTATCCTTCCACATTTCTATCCATCCTGCAATTAATTTTCTTGCAAACATTGCATCCACTCCTGAAATATATACATACAACTGCAAAATAGCTCTGAAGCGCATAGTAACATATATATATTTTTTAATATACTTCTGTCGCACCTTCATCAAGGACGATTAAATCTGAGCCTTCTAATAAAGGCAACGTTTTTATAGATGTCATTACTTTAACTATAACCAAACGCAATAAATAGAATAAACAATTTAGTCAACAATAACCACGTGGGTGTGCAGCATGGCAAACATATCACATTGAACATACATACAGAATAAAAATAATTGTAAATAAAAATATAACTCAAAGTTTAATTGCAAGTTCGAAGATTATGTTTATTTAACCCGTAATACTCATGATGATGTATAAAATTCAGAATAACACTTTGAATTATCTGAATATTTTTGTATGGTACAGTGGTGCCCCTTGGTAGCTGTTGGTAGCTAGATGGGCACAAACTACCTAACATCATAGGATAGCGTATGTATTATTCAATTTATGATACAGGGGTTCGACAAGTGTTACTTTACTAGTTATCTCCAATAAGATTGAAATTGGACGTGGAAATGATGGTCGACAGGTGTCGCTGTTCCTGGTCCGAAAAGGGTGCGGTGCACGCTAATCGCCATACTGGGCGAACGTGACCGAAGACAGAGCGAAAATGAGTACTAGAGTGTGTGTCACATCGAAGCTATTTTGCTCATAACAGAGATTTTATTTTGACAGTGCAATTGGTGAGTTATTCACGCGATGTTCGATACACCGGCCAAGTCTTGAGGGAAACCGAAAAGCGTAGATCCGTGCGCGTGACCGCGTAAGATCAGAAATATCGCAGCTCGGGTTCCCCTGCAACGGGTTGTCGCTGCATGTGTCACTGTGAGTGCTATTGTGCTACAGCATTAAACGTTTCTTCCAACTGTTCTTTCTACTTAAGGTTCACCTGTGTATTATTGACAGTGCTTGTGGTGTAATAAATGCAATATTAAGGAATTCTTTTGAATTACCACCGATGAGTTTGGCCGCGTTCTGCTCTGTTCGGTGCTACTCCTTCAACTAATCGCGTGTGTGATGCCCGGGAGTCGCTCCAGCACGGATCCAGAGCACAAGTCACCGCGAGAAAGTGGTGAAGATTCTGAGGATGAGAGTGAAATCCTGGAGGAGAGCCCCTGCGGGCGGTGGCTCAAACGCCGGGAAGAGGTACGTCTCTGTGGATTTTTTTTTTTATTTTTTTCACGCATAATACACCAACGCATTTGTTTATATCTCGTTCGTCTACACGTTTGGATTATATGTTGGTCGTACAGCTCTAAACATTTGGCATACACGTTCTGTTTGTTGTGACTACTATTGTACAATAATGGAAATACGTCAATGAGCTGAGTCTCTTGTGATATCGCACTGATTTTAGTTTAATAAACTATTGGGATATTTGTATTTTGGTGTGGAAAGTAAATGGTATTTAAGCACCGGAGTCAGAAGGTTCTTGGTATTAAGAAGTATCTTTATAAGACAAATTAGAAATCTCTGTTGCTATATAATTGTCATTTCCATTAATCTTGTTTAATACTTCATTATTTTTGAAGTTGAAGAAAGATTTACAAGGTAACATTATATGAAATTTGATACAGACTTACCTTTAAGATGATAATGTATAAGAATAATAAGTTTACTTCATTGTAAAACATTTGTTAAATATATGTTTGAAAATTTGTATATCATCAGAATCATAATGTACCATATGAATAATAATTTTCATGAAATCTATGTAAATATTATATGTTTTTAACTTCATACGTGTAAATGGACTTCTAACAACTTTTTGACCTAAGCTTTTATCAACAGTGATATGTTTTTCATATTTTGTTCTAAAAATAAGTTGCAGTAATAACATTGTAAGCAACATCTAAGATAAATAGTATTAGTACAAAGGTGAAGAAAATGTTTGTCCATTTATTGTTGAATAATTATTATTTTATGTTAGGTGTATGTAGGTTCCAAGTCTACGTTAGCCGAAGGCTCTACTTTTGGAACAGCCAGAGGCAGTGAAAACGAAGTAACTGAAATGGAGGTATGTCTATTTAAACAAAAATAGGCTATCTCTTTTATTTTGTACATATTGTTTTGATTTGGTTTGAGATATTTAATTAGAAACTGTAATTGTGTGAATTTTTAGTCTTTTATTTCTTTGTAGCAGATTATCAACAGTATCTATTATAATGATCCCTACCCTGAATTATTCCCCTCCTCAAATTTTTTACAAGGTCATATTAATCTAACAGCAAATAGGCACAAAATTGTTTGAATTATGCTTTAAGTAACTTTAAAATGAATGATTGCAGTAATACATTCTGCCACTTCATATATATATATATATATATATATTGATTCTTAAAATATATCTACAGCTTGGTTTAATTTTTGTTTTATATAACTCTTATACATTGTAAATAAATATTACTATATATTGCATACTTATAAGCTATAGTTGTAAATAAACTAACTTCTGCATTTTATATTGTTAATCTGAATGATGTAAATAATTGTACCAATAAAATTAACTATTTTTATGAAAAATACTGTTTGTTACCTAGGTGGAACAGCGTGATGTACCAGGGATTGATTGTGCCTACTTGGCAATGGATACAGAGGAAGGGGTTGAAGTTGTTTGGAATGAAGTGCAATTCTCTGAAAGAAAAAATTTTAAAGCACAGGAGGAAAAGATACAGCTTGTGTTTGAAAATCTTACACAATTGGAACATCCCAATATTGTTAAATTTCATAGGTATTGGACAGATACCCATAATGATAAACCTCGAGTAAGTCATAAAACAAGACTGAAGTACAGGCTCTCTTTATCTTAAATGTTACACATGGTTTTATATATTTTTTTTTCCTCAGGTTATATTCATAACTGAGTATATGTCCTCTGGATCTTTAAAACAGTTCCTAAAAAGAACAAAGCGTAATGTGAAAAAGTTGCCTCTGCAAGCATGGAAACGTTGGTGTACCCAAATACTTTCTGCATTAAGGTAATATGACTTCATGTGTAAATTATGAATTGTTCAGAGTATAATAATTGTATGTATTTGTCAATATCTTTTAAATTTTCAGCTATTTGCATTCCTGTTCTCCTCCCATTATTCATGGAAACCTCACTTGTGACACTATATTTATTCAACATAACGGGCTTGTAAAGATTGGTTCAGGTAAGTACTTTTGTGATAAAATATAAAAACAACTTTCCTTTTTTTATAGGACATTTTATGCCCAAGAAAGTACAGTTTTTATGTTTCTGTACTTGTATATGTATTGAAACACTCTGCTAATAGATATCAATAGCTGCTCGTAGGTATTCAAGAGAGCATTTATCTCTAAATGAAATTATTCAGCATATGTTGGAATAGGAGTTTGCAAGGCACTTCCCTTTTTTTATTCACAGGACTATGAGAGGCTAATAGTTTTGTTTCTCATAATTTTCATGGAAGAAAACTAAAAATCACGATATAGGATTATTAATCAACCAACCAGTGAAGTTTAAATAACAACTGTGACCTAACTGGTATTTATTTTGTTCTTACACGGGGTACAAGCAAAGTACGTATATTGCTATTACTGTGATTGCCTCTACAACGCTTGTACGATATGTCGATCGACAGTAATAAATAAGTTTTACACAGTTACCCAATTAATCTCGACTTGACATGTAATGTAATATGCATTATCCAATTATTAGAGTGAATGATGTATAAACAATATTTTCATACAAATATTATACTATAAAGTGTAATAACGTGTGAAAGAGGGTGTGATTCATTTATGTATTGTGAAGACAGTTTTACTCCATGTTTAATTGCAGTTCACAATAAGATTAATAACATGACAGAGTCTAAAACTAAACGATATATATGTATGAAAAATGAGATACTTTTTTGCTGAATATCTTTGGTAATTTTCTCAAAAACAATTCCATATGATTATGGTTACAATTTTTGTATTGTATGGTAATTTTCTGTCACTCTCTCTCTCTGTAACTGTGTAAGAAAAATTGTGTATAAACTGCTTTTATATAATATATTAGGAGTATAACTTGAGTCCTCATTTTTAATTATAGCAGATAGGTTAATCTAGATAATGAAAAAACACAGCAAAGTCATTGAAGAAGGAGGAAGTACAGTTATAATTTTATCCATCTAAGAGAATCGACGTTCTTCGGTTGGTGTAAATTGTGAAAAGTTGGTGAATTTGAAGGAAATATATTTGGCAGATAATCATCAACCGTTGCCAGCTAAGTAATTTAGGCATACACATACACATGAGTTATTTAGCTCACAAATGGTTGTATCTTTTCGACCCAAAAAATGTTAGTTTGCTCGATAAAAGTGTCTCTGTGAAGCCAAATATTTTCTCCTTTCAGAGACACTTTCATACATATATGTGTGTATGCTTAAATGATTAACCATATAAGGGCTCAAGTTACTTATAGGATAATTTTTCAGTTACAACACAATTTTTCTAGTGATTTATTGATTTACTTATTAAGAGGGAGGTGGCGGGTATTCAGAAAGGAAAATCTCATTTTTGTTCCTGTATAGAAAAATTTACAGAATTCCTGCTGTCTCGCAGATCTTGTAAATGTAATAATATGTTTTGTTTGTTAATTACAGTGGCACCCGATGCGATTCATCATCATGTTAAAACTTGTAGAGCAAATATGAAAAACATGCATTTCGTAGCACCAGAATATGGAAGTGAGCGAATTATATTTATTGCGATCAATATTATTGATATGTAATCACAGAATTTCTTTCGATACATCTTATTTTCGTGTTTCAGATTCTGTAACCCCTGCCATTGATATTTATTCGTTCGGTATGTGCGCTTTGGAAATGGCTGCGTTAGAAATTCAGGGTAACGGCGATAGTGGTACAATCGTGACTGAGGAAAATGTTAAGAAAACGATAGAATCCTTGGACGATTTCCAGCAAAAAGACTTCATCCGGAAATGTCTACAAGTAGATCCTCTAAGCAGACCGAGTGCACGGGAACTTCTTTTTCATCCTGTTTTGTTTGAAGTACATTCTTTAAAATTACTCGCAGCTCATGCTTTGGTTAATTCAGCCAGTAAGTGTAATAATATTTTCGTTATCTTATCTTTATATTATGGTATGTCAAAGAACGTATCACTTGTTATATATATATATATATATATGTTCCATATTTTCTGTGTCACGAAGGTAGAAATTACAGCGATTGTAATAAATGTAAAAGAATTCATCGTAACTAACCGAGTTTACATTTTTCCAGCAAATATTTCAGAAACGATAACGGACGAAGTATTACAAAGGCTATACCGACCTGATACGGTAGTTGCCGAAATTAAATACCAAGGTAGACCACCGCAGCAGACTCGGTTAAGTGATATTCCTGTTACGGAAAAGTTAGAAAAGTTTGTCGAAGATGTAAAGTGAGTAGTATTTGGATCATTGAACGTCGACGTCGAGTACGAGTAATATTTCATTGATTCTCTTGTTTCTCAACAATATCGATTATTATTATTCTCAACAGATATGGTATATATCCATTAACGGCATTTATGGCAAAACTACCACCGCCTGTTCGACCAAGGGCGATATCGCCCGAGGTAACCGAGTCGGTAAAATCGGTCACCCCCGAACCGGTGGACGTGGAGTCCCGAAGAGTAGTTAATATGATGTGTAATGTTAAACCTAGAGAAGAAAGTTGTGAATTACTTGTGAGTGACATAACACAGTGTGAGAGTTACCTAACATCACCATCAAAAATTGTTTTGTTTTTTTACGCTGGTGTATTTTATAGATGACAATATTATTACGAATGGATGACAAAATGAATAGGCAATTGACGTGTCCTGTCAGTCAATTAGATACTTCAATGCTTCTTGCGCAAGAGCTTGTACATTTTGGATTCATTAACGAGGTAAGCGAATTCATTTATTCAATGAGATGGCTTTCAATAATAATTAAGTATACGCGTAACAGCAATTTTCAATCCATTGTCATTTGTTGTAGAACGATCGTGATAAGATAGCAAATTTAATCGAAGAAGCATTAAGAAGTTGTTTTAATAAGCAATTGATGACACCTGGAATGGTATCATTAACTAATCTTCCCACCCAAACTACTTTACTGCTGCCTGGTCCAGAATTTCCATGCTTGCAACACTTTGATAACTCTATGTATAATGCGACAACATCTAATAGTGATAGTGTAACTAACCCGCTGCCAAAAACCTCAGGTCTCCCCGTATCGAGTAACGCCAGCAAAAGTCACGATGAAACGGAACCACCGTTGAATACTGAAAGCGGTAGTTAACCATCCAGGATATCTGGTAACTCAGTTCACTGTGCCACTTTGCACGCTCTATGTATAGACTGGCTATGTATTTTTATATTTAAGTAAACAGGAAGAAAAGAATGGAATTAAATAATAAAAGGAAAAAAAAAATGCAGAAAAGGTGCCGTGGCTAAACCACTAGGCTAAAAAAAACTTTTAACTCGGTATCATCAAATATTCATTTCATTCGAGAATACGATATTTTGTTTATAAAATTTAATTTAATTTAACGGTATTAAGTTTTCTATTAAGTAGTAAGGTAGTTAAAACAGTTAGAATATACACTGAATAAATCTAACGTGAAATTGAAGAGGACGAGCTCTATGATTTCAGTTGACTGTACAACTATTAAGAAAACGTAATTGCGAATGTAACAAGTTCCAAAACTGCGCCTAGTTATTATTACTCATAACCGTAGTCACCTGTTATTAGGCTGAGATAAAGGGCATTTTAACTATCGAACGTGAAATTCGTCGAGAACTTGAACGAATTACTCGAACTAAATATTAATCCAAGTTAAAATTTATCTTTTGTCGCGATGTGACGCGACAATGTATGATAAAAGAACAAAAAAAAAAAAAAGTTTAGTTTGTACATACAAATGGACAAAGCTGAAAGAAAACTAAAACGAGGAAGATAACGATCTAATTAATAGGTACAGAATAGCTTAATCGTACAGCAATATGAAAATGAAACGTACGAAAGAAAGGGAAAAGACTAACAAATTTCGCACTTGTTCTCATTTAAATATCCAATATGGTATTATGATTCAATCCGAGTCATATGAATCGACATATTTCCTTTGTCTAGAACAATGAAATATAAAAATAAGAGACTAGGTTCCTTTTTTTGTTACTATGTAAGGGTAGAAAAAAGAATCTTCTTTATTTCATCTGTTTTGTAGTATTCTAATAAACAGCCACGGCCCTCCTATACTTCGGTATTATTGATGTGATTAAACCAAGGTTATTAAATCTCGATAAAATTAGCTGAAATCCTTGTAAATAATTTATATTTTTAAGAAAATCTGTTGACACAGAAAACTAGTCATATAGGTATATTCGAGTGCTAACAAACTAACACCGACTTTATTATGTCTTTTTGCATTTATAACACGTGCTTGGCCAAGAGATACTGCTCCAATTTCATACCTCGGTAAAGTAAAATTTCAGTGACGCATTTCACTAAGCAAATGACTAACCATTACTAGCGGTAAAGTAATAAAAAAAAAAAAAAAAAGAAAACTATTACCAACCAACATAAACTTCGATCTTAAGTGTGTAAGTAGATTATGAAACTAAATTGAATGTATAGCTTTATAATTGAAATTATAAAACAAACAAAAAAGTGCGACGACTGAATCGTGGATATTACTGAAAGGGCTGTACGATGACAGTGATAAATAAATACTATAACTCGGAATTCCACTGCCTGAAATTTGTTTTCGTTCATTAATACTGTTGCTCCTTGTCTTCCTGATCAGTTTTTAAACTTTCACTCTCCCACTGTTTGTACTGTAACTGACACCGACAAAAGATTAGAAACACGAATTCAAAATGATACGTTTTATAAAAATTTATTCCTGTAACGTTATAGCTGAAGAAGAAACGTGAAATGTTTTTTCGATATAAAAGTTCTTCACGGATGAACTTTTTTAGAATATTTAATGAGAAAGATGAAAGAGTGTATACGTTTTGTAAAATAAGTAAATAAATTGTACAATTTTCTTATTTGTTTAGCTTAACACGCTGCAGGCTTAATGTAATACTTTTACAATGCTAGGTCTTTGTTACGTGATGAAACATTGAGTAACATTATAAATAATAACGACGACGACGACGATGATGATGGATGATGATGACGATAATGATAATAATAATAATATTTTTTTAAAATTACCGCTGTTCGATTATTCGTTTGAACAGGTACTTGATAAAATTCATCGTTAAAACTTCACAATTTCCTTACCTGCTACCTGATTCCTTCATCATCTAATAGTAGGTAAAGCAGTACTTTGTGAAACAAATAAGACAGTACTGTTTCCATTTAATATTTTTCAAATGATTTCTTGTTCCCTCCTACACAGAAATTGGTTTGAAAGTGAAACCTGAACAGCAAGAAGTTTTCTTAACAATTTGTCAATCGATTGGCCATATGTACCTTAAACATATTTTGAATTTAATGTGCGTTATTAGACGCTGTGTAATTACTAAAATGTTAAGAAACCAGCTTTGTCATTCATTATGCATTCTTGACCTGATCGAATCTAAATTTCCTGTTTATCTCATGAAACACGTCACCTATATGCACTATCAAACATTCTAAACCAGTGCTGTCTAGTGTTCAATAAAGATTAAATGTGTATAGGTTACAAAAAATTGACGGATGATGCGAGTAACGGGAGACTGAAAAGGAGCCCAGTCTTGGACAGCACTGTTTAAACTTTTCTGCGGCAAGCGATTGCTCGTGGCGATAAAATAACTGCCCAAGGGGCATCGAACTGCTCAGGCACAGTCTAAGCTTATGCCTAAGTTCCATCCGTGGAGTGTGTACGGTTCAGCAAGTAATCAAGATCATGGGCAATACGATCGAGCATGCCGCTAGTTGTAGCCTCGCAATTTGTAATTACTATTTCAGGTGTATTCTCCTCTCCGTCTGGTTGCTTACGTTCAGCTGTGTTCGCTATATCAGGGATCACGTTCACGTGTTCTCTGCTCTTCAGCTCTGTCGTGGACAACAGTTCAATGTCAGTTTTCACGGCCAAGGTAACGTCCGGCATGCCGCTTAAACGGGACTCAACATCGGCGCTGCATAAAACTTTTGCCGCGTTTTCTGGCGACGGATTGTGAGCGATAAAAATCTGTCCCTGCGACTCCCGATACTTGCCGTATTCTCGGAAGCCACAACATTCACCGCTGCCGTAAGGTGGTTCGTTTACACAGTGGGAACTTCGCGCAGAGAACATACCGTCGAATGCTGCGATCGTCTCCTGATACTTCCGTGGACTGGTGTTGTAATTTTCAAGATTTATATCGTCCGAACGATCGATTCGTATCTCTGGCAAGAATCTACCGGCGACGGACACAGAAGGCTTCGAATACGACGACGTGGACTCGTTTATAAATTCACGCATATCTATACTGCCAGCTGCAATACCGCGAGCTTCTAAATAAGACTCCCCGATGCTTAACGTTGAAGGAGGCGGTGCCGTGTCATTCTCAACCTCTGCACTCTTCGAACAGACTGATAACAATGAAACGGATCCGTTTACACCGTTCCCAGTATTATTGATTAAGTTTCTTTTTTTTTTTTAAGTACCTTTAATTGGCTCGGATGTTATTTCTTCCTCGGTATCTCGTTTCCATGTCAATTTCCGCAGGATCAAATCGATGATCGCCAATTCACCGTTCACGATATAAACTATCACTATGATGAATCCCTGAATGAATAGATGTCGTCGCTAAAATGTTAACGCGAACCCAATATCCTCGATTATACCAATCTTTGTATACTTACCAAAAATGAAGAAAGAGAAGCAAATGTATAATGGAAGATAATAGAACTGGAGTTTATGTAGAAGATGGAGGAGGCTTCCATTGCGATTATACCACAGATGACAATAGCCGCTCGATGAAGCATTCGTAACCTGAGAAAGGAACGTTTGAATTTCTAAGAAAATTAATTCACCGTCACCTGATGGTATTGATACATTCCTACGATGACAATTAAAGAGTTATGAATTCAAACGATGCTAAAGTTATACCTTGCCTCGATCGCTTCTTTTTTCATTACATTTTCTTCGACAAGCGCATGAGCCTTGTGCAGGATTCCCAAGTATAATAATGCGAATATAAGAAACATCATCGTTGCACAAGTGACGAATATATTGTAGACTCCGCTACCAAAGATCAACCACCACGATTCGTGTCTCCAACCAGTACTCTTGTGCGTTAATTCCGTAGTTAGCACAGCTAAGATGGGTACACCTAAATAACATTAAGACTGTGTAAACGTTTGTACTTTTCTTACTTATATTCACAGCGTATCTGCTGCATGTAATATTTTAACTGACCAGTAATTACTGCAATAACGGTGGGTTGGAAGTGATGATTGGATCGAACTTGCGTCAAACCAGCAAAGATGATCAAAGCTTCTGATATCGGTGCAGACATGCCGATCAAAAGGAATGCTTCCAAAGATATTGCCACAATTGCGTACGAACTCTGGCCACAGAAAGTAATGATAACGCATTAATTATATTTCTCCAGGGCCACGTGTAACCGATATTGTTACTTCAAGTACTGTACCTCTGGCAGATTGTTGTGTACAGCGTAAATAAATACCGCCATCGCTCCAACCAAAGCACCGCAACACTGCAGCTTTAGGAAGTTCAACCAACTTCGATGCCTCCACCAAAAGGATCCAAGAATCAAGGAGGAAAGAAGACACTGTAGTAAACAGCTACCACAGCCGAATATTACAATGAACGTGGTTTGCTCCTTTTTAGCAAGCACTACCTGAAGTTGTTTTTGCGTTTTAGTTGTTTCAGAACTTTAGATGAAGTACTTTTTACCGAACTGTAACTTACTCTCACTGCACGTGCTGTTAGAAAAATTGCAAACGTGCCGGTATTAGGACACAAACAATGAGTAGTGGAGTCTCCTGGCAAAGTGTTAGCGATACAACTGTTTAGATCCCAAGTTCCAGTGTCGTCCATCAGACCGCAGGACACATTCCAAGAATTTGACTGATTTTGCACATGCTTCATCTGCAGGTCAACCCATATCTTGTTATGCTTATCAAGGCTGAAGGCAGGTACTACCACAGTGATGATACGAGAGTTAATGCGAAATTCGAGATCTGTTCCATCGCTATAAATAAAAAAGAAAAAAAAGCCAAGGAGTTAATAATCTGAAGAAATATTGAAAGAAACAATCATTGATTTTCGTGATCACTAACTCAAGTTCTTTGACGTAGGTAGTTGGAAGAAAATGGGACACGTTCTTGTAAACGATCACGATTCCGCTAAGGGTGTCGTTGGTCTTTACCCCACGTAGTCGTTTCTTCCATAATCGTATGGTCGTTTTATCGTCATACCAATTTGGATACCTACAATTAACGAAATCAGTAACACGGTTAATTAAACTTCACTGCAAACACGACAGTTACGTGGAATCATCTGCAGAGATCTGAAGAGAATGCGTGATGCTATCGCCGCTGTGTTGTTGTAATTCTTGGACATCTACCACCAGTGAAGGAAGAGATAGATGCTTGTAAGGATGAGTACCAGACTTGGTCCAGCAAGCCAAGCTTTTCCGCGTGATTTGCAGCAACAGTAAAACTTTCTGGAAATTAAAAAATAGTCCTTCTACAGTTTTCCTTTTGATTTATCGAAAACTAAGGCAAACCGTTACCTGTTGACTTAAGATTGAATTTTTGTCGTTTAATATTCGACTAATAATTCGTATAAGCGCATCCGTGGATGCAGGCAAGTCTGATGGCTCGATGTTACGCTGGTAACGTTCAACCTCAGCCAATATACTCAGAATGCGATCACCCTCTCCAGGATAAAGTGGTATACTACGTGATCGTAAGATTTCCCAGAATCCATAGATCGTTTCAGAACCAGTTGTATTCTGATAACCCAGTGTCAGACTCTTAAACTATAAGCAAGCAAGAACATGATCATTTCAGTTTAGTTAGAGACGAATGTATACCATAAGGGGATACCCTAAGTTTCAATAGACAAAATTCATGGGAACCTTGTTGTAATAGGAGGTGAGTGGCTCGTACAAGCAAGAAGAAAAATCAGGTATTTGCCATTCAGGTGTGGTCGCATCTTTCATAGAGCACAGCCTGGACACTTTTTTCCCTATAAAATGCTGTGGACATTCTAACAATGCTTCGGAACCAGGAGCCGTGTCCGGCCAATCTAATCCCCAAGACTTTCCTTTCAAGCAAATGGGTATTAGCGTTCGATTGACGACTTCCATTCGGACGGACATGGATTTGTCTGCCACGTTGCACGTGTATATCGCTGATTTCTGAAAATATGGAACCATTGATAAATTATTTGGAAACGATTCGCCATTCATCAAACAATGTACCTGTGCATTTGTGATTTTCAATATACTACCCGCTGGATAAAGATCCTCCCACACTTCGCTACCGGGTTCCAGTTTAAGGAGGGCTCTATTCTTGGTCCAGCCGAATCCTATGTCAATGTTGGGCATATTAGGAGTCATGCACGTCAATTGTACATTGTTTCCCTGAAAGAGGACAAAATAATTGTTCCAAATTGAGCAAGAGATAGATATTTATGTACTGTGAAGAAATGAAACAGTTACCTTGTCTATGGTAGCGCTCATTGGCATTACCTTCACGTTTGGCTCATCTCTTACATCGACATAAATAGTTTTACATTGTTGTACACCCCAATCAATTATCTGGCAAGTATACTGACCCGCGTCCAACAAGGTTGCTTTTTCGATGGTTAATAGCGACGTATGAAAGTCGGAACCATCGTTTGGAAGATGCCTGTGCCAGATTTCTCTAAACAATAAAAATACGTGAATTAAGATTTTAAATAAAGTGGAATAAAATTTAAAGATAGTAGCTGTTCGATGTTACCGACCGATGGTAATGGTACAGGTACCATCTGACTATGGCGTCAGTTTACTTAACGTTCAACTTGTGTTTGACAACAAATTGATTTTTATACGATATAAAGATTAAAATATCGCTGTTCATTCACCTGGTAGCCTTGTGCATGTTCACCAGCATGTTGTCCTTGTACCAGGTGAAGTTTATTCCATAGCTACCTTGAGCGATACAAGATAAGATGATTTGGTCCCCGAGATGAACCTCGTGTTCGTTTCCTTGATTCAGACGGAGACTCTATGCAGGTAAATTAACTTTTATATATCAATTATTCAATGAATCGATTGCTATAAAGTAGACGAACAGCTACCTGCAATTTCAGAGCTGGCTTTTGTTGAAACGTGAAATGAGTCGACTCGAGGGAGATCTCGCTAAGTCGTCGACGTTGCACCAGTTTGTTGAGAGATTCCCGAATCTTGTCTCCATCTTCCGAATTCCCGAAGAAATGGAAGGTAATCTCCGACGTGGGTCTATGTAACGATAGACAGGTAAAGAATAAAATGTACTTTCAGCATTGTTTCTAAACATTTTTATCATTGAAAGGCAGCATCGTCGCGTAAACTTTACGTGTCTTTATCTTTTTAAGGATCTTCGTTAAAGGGGTGACCGGAATTACTTATTGTTTAATGTACCTACTCACGTCACGCTCAGGATTTGTAAATCCTCCATGGACGAGATATTAGAATTCCTTAAGTATTTTGCAAGCTGTGAAGAAGTTACAAGGGGTCAGTAACGGGAATGTATAGTTAAAAATTATGGAATGAAGGCAATTGAGAAGAGGAAAAATAAAAAAAAAGGTCACTATTTTTGTTAACAAGTGCATATATTATAAAATAATCGAGTCATAACAATGACACGTTTTTACATATTCAACAATTACATCATAATTACAACTCGTGTGTGAGTAACATAACCGTACATGTAAGCACGTGTATCACGCACGTGATCGACGCAACTTTTCGCTTCTCTTTCTCGGTCTTAACTCTTATCACTTATAATATTTCTAAACGATCTTCCCATTCGACTATTCATCTTAATCGAAATTCATGCAGGAATTTACGCCAGTCCATTGTCACGATACCGGCCGTTATCGGTGCTTTTCCAAGTATACGAATGGCCCCCTCTTCCACCGATCGTTCAACGGCTTCCTTAGCAGCTTCAGGGAACGTGGTAATTTTGCATGACTGCACCCAGTCAGAATAAATATTCATTCCAGAAGGATTAACATTTTCCAATTCATTCTGGTGGATCAAGAAAATATGGATCTTCGTTGGATATTAGTACACAGGATGGATCTCCGGTTCCCGGACACAAATGATCCCGTATCCGCTCCCTGGATACTCGTAACACCTTGATTCCCGTTTCACGACAGTATGCCTCAAGCAAGATCATTTGCAGGTGACTGGCTGAATCCATTTCTGTATCGAACGGCACGAGGCAGCAGATAGCTCCCTGACGGTTCTCGCATTCCTTGGATGCCAGTGCTCTCAACGTTGGCAGCATACCACAGGTTATCGTCGATTTCGAACATCCCTTTTCCTTCTGTTCGGACCAAGACAACGAACCGCTGAAAATTTTGGTGAAAATCAATTATAAAGAAAACAGAAATTCTCGCAATAACGAGCAACGTCACTTGTCAAAGGTGAATCCTTACCTGTCTGTCATTGTGGCGGTTGGATAGGACTGTAAGCTCTGGCAACGTGTCATATCCGTAAGTATTTGTTCCTGTTTAGCCTCCGAGTTGATCTCTCGCGTGCCTCGTTTGCACACTTCACTGAATGTAGGAATTTTCTTAGCTTTGATTAACAGGTTATCACAAGAAGTAAACACTGTTGACAGTCAATCAAACGATTCACTGATTCTTCTGGCAGTTCCTGATCGATGCAATCTTACGCAACAATGAAACTTTCACGAAATACGATCAGCTTTGAATATTCAGTCGCACCAATTGCAACACAACGCTAGGGGGCTCGAGTAACGAATGACCTCGAGGTCCGGCGCGCGTTGCCTTTATACTTCTTCTCCCACCAGTTCACCATGTTCTATATATCTACGGGGTATTCCAGATAAAACGTACCGTGCCTGTGTACACAGAACGGAGCTTTTTATCGACGACAAGTCGGTCGCGAAAGCTCTTTTACCTGGAAACGAAATATCAGGAAAATTGCCCTCTGATCGCGATCGAGCGAAACGGCCGCGGAAAAAACGAGTACGAAACGTTTTGATTAGCGCTCGACGCGATGATAAATAAGCAGTTGACGAGGAAAAGTATTTCGTGTCAGTTTTCCTCGTATTACGATACTTTACCGTAAAATTCCTGATACTATGATCGGAAAAATGATAATATTTGTAACGAAATTGCCACAGGTGAGGAGAGCAAAAATTCCGAGGATAAAAAACCTGTACAGGAAAGTAGCTGCGTCATAAGAAGAAACGATTTGTACCCTACAAGGAGTCGAAACTGAAATAGTGTCCGGGTCAGGGACTTGGTTTTGTGCGATACTTATCTCGCTCGATACGTCTTTCCTGCAGAGAAATAGAGACGGAGAGAAGATAGATAGCGGATGATTTTCACGCTGAATGATTCGACGTTTCTTCTGAAGTGGAATGACAAGTTTGCCTAACCGAACTACCGAATTCGTTTGGCTAACAGGTTTCAACTGTTCCTGTCGTACCACGTTGATCGATAGCCGCGTGTCCATCGTAGATATACATACGCCGTAGATAATACATATACTTATAAAATCATGATGCAAACAGCAACGTCTCGTCCCTTTGGTTTCATCAGCCTTGCAACTTGAACAGATTCGCTGATAAACCAGGTGGAAATCTACTTGGGAATCACCGGTCTGTTAGGGGAATTATTGAAAGTCGATATTTCGCATCTGCTTTGGATTTCCTCCTCTCGCTCTGTTGTCCTTTACCGTACCAATTATATCCCGCGCCACAAAGGACTACGCGCGTGCTAAAATTAAATTGACCACACGTAACGGATTTTAATTTCGATGAACGAAGAAAGTTGATTTGTTACGTAATCGATGATAAAGCATAACGATGCTGGAGGTAAAATGAATCTGCCATTTCTACTAGACGATCAGCGGTGACATTTTCATTTTCATATTTTATCACTTGGAATATTGGATCAGATGTGCAACTTTTTTTTTCAGATTGCTACTTGAATAATCCTGCATAGGTGTTGGTGGAATCGAAGAGCGCGTGCACAAACACTTGGGAATCCCAGAGTCCTTAGGTAAGAACTTTGAAACTGCAGCCTCGAAAGTATGCGTGTAAAGGTGGAGTTCTGGTAATGAGTTTGATTTTTACGAGAACTTTTAGAAAAAATATACCCACTCGATTCTCTTTGTTTCTTTATCGAGGATATCAAAACATGCGACAGAAAGGTAACTTTTTCTCCATTGATATCACAGATGATTCATAAGTAAACAGTACGAGCAAGTATCGGTTTAATCAGCCATGTCTGCTAGGGCACACCATAACATGGATTTATTATTTTTAAATTTAATTCATCTTCCGGTTTCCGGAAGATATAATCAGTACAATTTCCTGCATTTTCCAAGTAATTTGATTAAATTATTCCACCGATCATTGATTATCTATCACGTCCTTAGTATATCTAATCATCGACCTTCTGTTTGATATCCTAGGCATTTATCTATTTCTTTCGTTCGTTATAAATGTTATTTTATCAACGATATATCTTTGTACACGTGTCCCTAATTAATGTATGTATATATCATTCGACGAGAAGTACGGAATTACCGAATTAGTAACCGAGGTATACGAAAGGTTTGCAAAGGCAACCGTTGATATCGTGGCGCAATTCCCATTGCGATTGTCGTAATCGAAAACATTTGGCGCCTTGAAATCGTCGGCCTCTTGAATATACAAAAAAGCAGAGTGGCTGCGAGTAGATAATCTTATCGCGGGAAAGAGACAAGCGAATCGGTGTTTCTCATTGACGTTGATAAGGTTGCGAATCGCGATTTCGTTCGGGGAAAGTAAAGCGTCTGACCGTTCCTCGAGAACTTCCTACCGAGTTTTCGCAGTACAGACGTAAATAAAAATAACTCGTATATTTAAATGTTATTTCCTCGAATCTTATTTACCGACCACATTCTTGTTTTTAGGATACCAGATGATCGGGAGGAGGATACTTGGTTCGTCATTTTTTACCAGCTACGCCAAAGCCATTGTCTCGCGTGATTTTCAAGTGGTTCGTACAATTTTGAACAACACCGAGCTGACGAAAAATCATATGACGCCGGAGATGAAGCTGTTTTTGTTAACACCCAACTGCCCTCTTTATCACGAACCGTTTCAAAACGTTCTGCAAGGCAGCAATATGAAAAGGAACGTGTTCGTTGAGCCTTTCTGGTCGATTTATTGGCCAGGAGGACAGGGGCTCGCCAGATTCGTCCTCGACGAAGGGAACGCGCTGTTCTCATCCTCGAGGAACGTTTTGGACCTTGGGGCTGGATGCGGGGCAACTGCTATAGCCGCGAAACTTCGGGGCGCCAGCAAGGTTGTTGCCAACGATATCGATAAAGGTTTGCATTCATTTAAGCTGTAAAGATATCGCTAAGCAGCAGCTATTAATAGCAGCCTCAAGGAAGTTATTACCAGATAGCTGGTCGATATCTGAGAAATGATTGATGTCTGAGAAAGATTAGGCGTTTATTTCCATTTCGTTGAAACTGGAATTTTGAAAGAAACGGGTAGTGTTCCCGGATAATAAAATTCCAAAAGGTTGTTGTCGAGAGTTATCCACCATGGTGCATCGGCACTTGAACATGCGTTCAGGAATCTGGGAATTTCCTTTTCAGGAGAGGAAAAAGAAATCATCGTACAGGGAAGAACTGGGTGCATCGTGCTACAGAAGCGATAAAACAAACCGATGGAGGGGGTGGAAATACCATAGCATGCAGCGAAGAGAAGAAAAACTATAGATAGTACGGTTTACGTCATCCGTCCGCTCGAGAAGATAGTTAGAAAGTGGCAGACTGGAACCCTCGGATCCAGACGTTGAATTTTTGAATCATCAGAACGGATTTAGAATGGACCGTTGTTCGAAAACGTAGCTATAAATACTTTGGATATAGATAGAAGCATTGAACGTATTAGAAAGCGATGTAACGATTGAAAACAAAAGGCAAAATTAGCCTCTTCGAGGTTTCCCTATTTTCAGCGACATTACGCAAAGTGTATATATGTAAGGACATTTTAAATGGGGAACATTGAAATGGCAAGTGTATCCAGAATTTCGCCACTTTTGTTCCTGCTAAAAATAGTTCAAGACCGGCTCAAGGTCTGGATCAAGCTCCGTTCCTCGTCTTACAGGAGGTCAACGATCCGCCGTACAAACCCGACATTCCAAACAAACTGATGGCACATTTCGAAAAGTATGCCAGGCATCGAACGCTGATAACGTTCACTCGGTGCGCTCGAACAGCGCAAGAATGAATCGAAGCATTCCACCGTTTACTACGTTCTTTTCTACATTCGCATCGGTCACGTAGAATGCGAATCGATAATCAGGTACATCCGTAATTACTGCGCACGGTACCTGGAACTGACTCTCTTTTAATTCGTTGCTCTAATAAGATTACCCTCTAAACGCAATCTTTGATAGCGTAAGGGCCATTCCCTTTTATAACGTGAATTGATAATTGTGCCGTGGACGATTCGAAGAAAGTCGAAAATGTAGGTCAGACATCATGCGCGTCAGTGAAAGGTAGCCGATTTCTGCGTTTTACGTTCGTTGCATTCTTAAATCTTTGCCTCTGCACGACAGTCAATCTCGTTGACGTACTAGCATTGCGTCGTAACATACATGAATAATAGAATTTTCTTCAAACGTTTCCTTTTTAGCGTCTGCTAAAAGTCTGTCGCAAGCTTATTTCCTCGTTTATTCAATTGTAGTATCATTGATGCTTCTGGCAGTTCCTTTCCGAGGACCGATTTTTCAACGGTTGATCAACGTTACGCAATCGTTGTAATCCTCTTCGCATACGCGTTACGTTGTTTTATCTTATCCACCCCCCGCCAAGCTCTTCTCGCGACTCGATCGTGCCATTGTATTCTGGCATTTGTTCGAACAAGATAACTCGTATCAAATCGTCTATAACGAAAATTGATTATCAGCTCGACGAATATTCCTATAAAAAGCCGCACGCGACAACGGAAACCAGCACACATTACGTTATTATGTAATAACGTTTGTTGCCTCCGATTACCTGTCCACGAAATTCTACCTAATCCCGCATCGATCCTCGTTCGTTAATCGTCTAGAAAAATCGCTTTTTTCATTTCTCCATCGTATCGATAATGTTAATTTTGTCTGCTTTTAGTCGCCTGCACGGCAATTATGATGAATGCGCTGGTAAACAACGCGGAGCTCGAAGTGTCTGAAGAAAATTTATTGCACCGTCCCCCAGATAAATTGATAGATTTCATTTTCATCGGTGACATGCTGTACGACGAGGAAATCACCAGCGTTTTAATCCCCTGGCTGGAAGAAGCGAGTAAAAATGGCACGCGGATCTTCCTAGGAGACCCAGGGAGACACGGTTTCACCGAGGATTTGAGGAAACGATTGACGTCGTTGAAGATTTACTCGTTGCCGAAAAATGTACGACAAGAAAATTATGGCTATGATAAATGTTACGTTTGGGAATTCTCTAAGTAACGAACAAACTCGATAAACTGCATCGCGTGATCAAACAATAGGTATTAACGAGATATGTACACGGTTGTCATATGGTAGCGCGTGGCTTGTTCGTAAACAAGCTGATGGCAATCCGATTTATGACAGCCAGACGCCAAATATTGCGAAACATCGCCACGGTAACAAATTGTATGCTCGTCCTGATATAGATTCTTTGTCTATTTAGCGACTAGTCTCTATGTAAAACGCTCAATTTTTGCTATCTACTTATATATTTAAGAAACATCTATGTTGGAGTTGTCAATCGATGCTGTTCAGACTCTCTATGCTCACCTGTTTACCGATGTAAGACTCCAAGCTACCGTGTTGCGTTATCAATCCGGTCCGTAAAGATGTCACGTTAGATAATTTGATTCTGCACTCGTATCTCGAACGATCTGCAACAATTTCCGTGATTGCTTTAACATAACTAACAATAAGTAGCAATACTTATGAAATTATCTGTTCAAATTATCTAAAGTATGTTCATAGAAGAAACTCGCGTATACACCCACTGTTATAGATCTTGGTACCGTTTTTACAGGTGCACGGTTCTTGTTCGTCTTCGTCGTAAGGGCACTGCATTATGCAATTCTCGATTCCGCATTCTGTGAACAAACGTCGACTTGATGATCGTTAGCATCGATGATTCTTACGGATGACTCACGCTGTAAGTAGCTTGAATTCGACCACGCCGTGAACGTGACTCATCCGAAAGTTATCCACAGGTATTTTTGCTCCGTGAACGGAACAAGCGTTAACATGGAAGTGAATCTTACCACCGTCAATCGTGTCCAGAAGACGAATCTCGCAATAACGTCCAACATAGCCGTCGAGGCAATGGCAATTCATCGCTTCTGCTCCAATTTGCCTGTAACAGTTCAACGAACCGATCGTACATTCATCATTCTTATTCAAGCTACATTTTTCGATCAAGAATCATCGAAACTCGCTTTTCCAGTTTAAAAAGTTCAACGATGCGAGGATAATTGGACGATCGACCTACATTTATACGTATTATCGATTGATTCTGTTTCGCTCGGCTTTTGACGTACAAACTTTCCCGATACTACTGGTCACGTTATAGTTTATTGAAACTGCGACAACGAACTTTCGAGTTTGATAACAAGTTGCAAACTTTAATGGCTTGATTAACGAAACACGATGAAACGTTCGCTTTCCCTCGTTCTGATTGAGACCTTGCAGATGGTATCGTTGATTATAACTTTCTATAATTATCAGCTACTGGAATTTTATCTCTTCGATACGATCACGTTTGAGATCTTCTGTAAATTGCTAATTACAAGTTAGTTAAAAATGATTAACCTTGCTGAATAACATAGAGGTAAAATCACAAATGATATATCATACTTGCAAGTGCCCCCGTTTTGGCAGATAGCATTGTGATCATCCTCGAAACAGAGAGGTCCTTCGTTGCAGTCCTTTCCGCTGAAGCCGTCGAAACAGTTGCACCAGAAATTTCTACCAGGAACAACGGAAAATTTCGTTATTTGTACACGGCACGTGGAATGAGTTTCAGAGGCGAGGGATAAATCGGGAGGGTCGCAGGATTTATTAATAATTCATGAGACTTGATACGGTATCTCTATGCCCTACAAACCTCCCTATGATCCGATTTGCCCTTCTCTTCTGTTTATCTTTCACGATGGAAATTTTTCAGCTTACCAAATTGTTGTACAAATTAATTTCCTTATTTAAATATAATATATTGTAAATCGGTAATTCTTAATTTAGCTAACTATTATCCCATCTTTTCACCGATTGCCACAAACTATTCCAAGTATGCGATGAAAATTGAAAGTGAAACAAGAAACGGGGACATGGTACTCACGTGTAGTCCGCGGACACGAGGCAATCGCCGGTGTAAGAACATCGTTGAACAGAACAGGAATTCGAATTCGGCGCGTCCTCGGTCATTTGATACGTGACATTGAACCCGTACACATCGAGCAGATCGTTCAGAACCCGTACGTGATTACCCTCGAGCCGATCAAGTTCGAATTCCACGACTAGAAACGGTCTGAACGTTCTGAACCAACGATATTCGAACACGTTGCCCTCGGTGATCTCCTTGATCAACGTGGCTCCAAAGTTCATGTTCTCCGATTCGTAATAAGCATATTCGGTGAAACTGAGTCCTTTGTAGACGTAGACTTGCGTCAAGTATACAACAATGGAGCTGTTAGCCGCTGGAATATCAGAGACGTCGATCACCCAACGACACTTTATGGGAACTGGAAACGAGCCGGGAAAATTCGGGCTTTGGATCACTCCCCTCGGTGCCGTCAGACGATCTCCACACGACACCTCGTTCGTCGTGGAACCTCCTATTAAACTCAGACAGCAGACGTAACAGAGAAGCTTCATCTTTCTAAACAGAAATATTTCAAAATACTTGATGATTTTTCCTTCCAGTTATAAATTAAAGTTTATTTACCTGTTTGTATATGGATTGAGACGAAAAGGTGTCGTTTCCAGTCTACATACATACATACATACATACATACATACATACACTGGTTCAAGAATTAAGCAGGATATACTGTAAAATTAAGAAACAGATGATAAATATTAACTGTAACTAATTTAATAATAGTGAATAATAATGATACCTACATTATAATAAAAAGACTGGTTTGTGTTTTGAATCAACCCTTATGTCCTCTTATCTCCTCTTCACACTTCAAAATACATTCGTCCTTCCACACATCTTATCGTTACACCCTTACACTTCATTTTCACATGAAAAGAACGTTCGTGAGGACGATTCAAGTGTTGAAGAGAAATCCGTGTATCTGCAGGTGTATAAAGTCATTTCTAAAAGTCGTTTTTCAACATCATGTGTTGCAATTGTTTAGTACAATGCTGGAGGATAAAAGCTTTCGCCGTTCCATAGTGTAAGGTAATTATGAGCCACAAATGATGCAATTTCTTTCAGAAATTTAGCTTGTCACCCACTGCTGGGTTATGCCGAATCAAACGCGTTAGATGAGGTAAAAATGCACGCATAAGGGGTACGTGTTACCCCAAGAATCGATCTTATACTCTGAGACGATTAACAATTGAACGAAGATTGTCGGAATGTTATCGCGTACGTACGAACCCGCGATCTGCCGGGCATCTGGGCGTTAGCCTCCTTTGCACAACTGAACTCTCCTACGCGCACCCTCAGTGCACCCTTCCTGTACCCAGATGCCTGTAATCGAGACGAGAGAAGGGCAGCGAAGGTACTGCAGGGATGCTGGCAAGCTTTGTTACATCTACGTGTTTGCATTTCTGATCGAACCACACGAGGGTGGAGTTGAAATTCGTACATCTTAAGGTTGTTGGATGATCCAGGAATCCATGGATAATCGCTTTGTTGACGGAACATTGGGAAAAGATACGATTGGATACGTGTAAAAAAAGAAAAGAGTTTAAATGAACAAAATAAGAAAAAAGTAACATAAACTATTGTACGTTCAGTTCAAGGATCCTTTTATGGATTCAGGATAGAAAAATCAAGCGATAACACAGCAATTGTTCTATGTAACTTATTGCATGATAAAAAGTTATATATATATATTTATTTATTTATTTATTTAAATTAGAATAACGTAATTTGTTTATGTAATTAACTTATCTTACAGTTCTCGATTATAAGCTATATACAGCTTTAATGCAAAAGGCAATGGTAACTGATGTATCTTTTCCCTCATAAAAGTAGAAAAGGCATTTTTGTTTACGTAATGGGCGACAATAACTTCATCCTTAGGGTATTTATCACTAGTGACCGAATGAGGATTAAAATTACGATTTATCGTGATATCGGATAGATCCGAATCCATCGCGTCTGCTGTCTCAGATGGATACACCGTTTCCAAGTCTGAATGATTTGTGTTCGAACTTGAACTGCCTTCCTCGTTACTCAAGTTTACGTCTTCCACTATTCCGCTATCCGTTTTCTCCCGTTTTGCCACTTTTTTGCGTTGAACGAGGGTCTCCTCGTGATCCGCTTCGCTGTCGGTATCGTTGTCGTCGTCGTCGCTGTCGGTGTCACTGTCGCTTATATTCAAACATATAGCAGTTGCAATATTTTCATTGACATTAATGATACGCTGTGTGTGAATGATATTTTCTTGCGATCGTTCATCGGTGGAACTTGAAACACCCTCTGCATTGTTTGATGCGTCTGCGTTGAAAAAAGAGTCTTTCATAGACGAGCTTCTGTTTCCAAAATTCTCTACGTTCTGATTATACTGACCACTACTCCCGCTGTTGCTCGCCTTTCTCCAATTCTGATTTTCATTTGGATTAGTTTGCACGACAGTCCTTACTTGAGAGGTACATTGTTCGCTAGGATGAGTATCGACACTGAGCAAGAAACATACCGCTCTACTGAATTCCTCGCCTCCGTCTGAAACAGCCTCGTCGGATTCCTCGAAAATAGGAATAACGAATCTTCTTAAAGTCTGATGGGGAGGAGGGCTAAGTTTTCGTCGTTCTGGTACTATAAGCTTTGTAGTCTCCAGATCTGCATGTTCAACCCAGACATTCAAACGTAAACGATCTCTTATTTTACCCCTGCATAACTCTTGTAAAGACAACGGATCACATTCGGCTACAAAATATTGTTGATATTGAAAAAACAAATTGCAAATGATACATTTATTTTACGACGCTGGCAAATATACGTACGTAAGTGGAACAATGTTTGCTCTGAAGCAATAGGCACAACCAATGTTGAAAATGATACAGACAGCATTGTGAAATGCAACCAAGTATCCTCGTCTATTCTGTGTATACGAAGCAAATGATCCTTAAAAGGCATTACAAGAATCCCTCCGACGCGTACAAATTGTCTGATAAAACCTTCGTGACCTTCTGGACATGCTGCACCACAATACACTCTATCGTATTGTCTACCAGGTGCAACATTCAGACAATTCCCTGTTAAATGTATAGTTACATGACTCTTTTCTGCTTTCACAGGAGCCACACATACTTGTAAGTAAATTCTTTATGTATCACCTTGTATAAAAAGTGGCTCACAAAAATCAAATTCATCCAGAGCTAATGACTTCTGTTTAAATTCTTCTAGTCGCTCGTATGCATACTTTAAACAATCTTCGTGTAACTCAATGCCATGATTTGTTCCATGTTGGCCTAAGAAAGGCACAAAGATATCACCAACATTCTACATTGATTTAATAAAATAGCAGTGTTCTTACTCAATATGAGTCCTGCCATTGTACTAAGATAACCAGTTCCTGATCCAAGATTTAAGAAGCTCAATCCTGGTTCCAAAAAAAGAGCTTCCATTACCTCGCTATATATACATGGCGCTGATAAATGGATGTTCCCATGTTTCCAAGCAATATCTTTATAAGCAATCTCTCTATGTAATGGCAAAACATAATCTGCCCTGTCGACTGCTCTAAATACTTTCTCCACCTCTTTGGTTCTTATATAGCCAGATTTCATTAAATCATCAACTAATTCATCGTTATTCTGTCCACTGCTTACAGTTGTCCCCATTCTTAACAATTGATAAATCCTTCTGCAACTAAATTTAAGTATTATTAATCGCATGTTTCTTTAATATATTTCTTAGATATTTACATAATTTGATAAGCTTTTTCATAAATATTAAAAGAATAAGAATCTATTAAGTTCCAACAATTTCCTGTTAACATCATAATGTAAACTATACCTACTTTCACTCGTTTATTAACTTTATTTACTAATCCTTTTAAAAAAGTAGCATGTTTCTATAGATATAGCAGTCAAAACTCTCAAGAGCTAAACACTAAAAATAACTTACCAGATCAAACTATAATATACGATCAAAGTTTGTACGAATATTAACAATGTTACAATTATCAAATTATCAGAATATATTTCATCTGATAAGAATCATATTTGAATAAATATCGAACATATTTTCTTCGTATTATATTATTTCTTATAAATCGTTGATACTACGCGACAAAATATAACTTGTTGGAATTACGTCAAAGTGCGTCGCACATATACAAATTGAATAAAGGATATATTTAATTATTATGACGAGCGCTTGTATCGTGTAACAGTAATCAAGTTCAAAAAATATACAGAAATATTAAAAGCTTGTGACAGATGCGCATAATTTTTGCAACATTTTCGTCAAAATTTTCCCTTACCAGATGAAAACACTATATTTAATGACAATGAATAATGGAGTCGATGTTAAATCGAAAAAAAAATTTTTTCCAGCTCAAATTAGTTTATTACGACGAGCACAGTATCACGCATTGTAATATGACATTTTGCGACAACAGGCTGCAATAACTGTTATAATGTCTTCTGTTTTGATAAGAGTAAGGTCCATCAAGTCCATCAGCTGATAGCACAAAACACGAACTGTCTCTACGCCATTGTATGACTGCGGCTGTTGTATGGCAAATTAAATGGCACATCGACAAGTTTCACACGAAAAAATTGTATCACTTGCAATCATTATTTCCTTTTATATGTATAATCTTTGAGAAATTTTTCTAAATCTCAATGTACTTTTCTGTGGCTTTTTACCTTTTTCTTCAAAACGCGTATGTGTGTTAATCGGCCTCTTTGAAGCGTACAACATCGAGCGCAAGCGTTACATATGCTTTGACATATGTCTCTAAAATATAAAAGTAAATATGTACCATGTACTTATACGTATATGAATATAAGTTTGCTAATTCATGTATCGATGTATATGTAATAAAACGACTGAAAACCTGCTTTCACAGTTGTAATCGCATTGTAATTTGTATGTATTTATAATATGTATCGAACGTATGGTTGCAAATGTAGCACTAAATTAAGTAGACATACAAAATTTGAAGTACGAATACTACCAAATTATATTATTAATAAAAGTACAAAGCCTTATCTCTACACCAATCAAACACAAAATACGTGTTCCAATATATTCGTCGCTCACATTAAATTTGTTATGTACTATCTCTATTTTTTATTTCGATCGATACCGAAGAGTGTAACATTTCATTCTTACATTATAGGACTAAATTTTAAATTACTAACGCGTATGTAATTTAATACCGAGAGCTTGTAGCATTATCCTTTAAAATTATAAAGAAAAGATTTTTATTCATTGCGATGTTTATATGCAGAAAAATAAAAAAATTTATAATCATAATTATTCCTTATTTTATACATGTGTAAACAAAAATCAAATGAGAATCAAACCTAATTTATATGAGTTGTATTTGTAAAATCTGTTTAGTTTTATATGTAAAAGACAGGAAAATTATGTCTATTATCATACAATTTTAATACAGTCGATTGAATCCGAATTTCTCAAGTAGTTGAACATTTTTATCTTATTCTATTTTAAATGTACAAATGTGAATGTGTCTTTACAGCAGAAGCAACATGGGTCGATGCGCATGCGCATTTGGAATGATACCGTCTCTTCGCATATGATGGCGACTGACAACTTTAAAACGTGAGTTTATTATCATATAATTTCTTACGTTTATATTGTGATGTTTGAGTGTAAAATGTAATAGTGATATCACTGAATATTCAGATTCTTATTGATCGGCTAATTTTTTTTCATGCTCGTCGTTTAATAGAATATATCCTTAAAATTACCGCTCATAATTCGATAGACCAACATTCACTTATCCTAGTAAGTATACCTATAAAGCTTCTCATAACTTCTCGCATTGGTATACTTGAAAAAAGTTCTAAAGTATGTATGAATAAATATAATGTGTACAAACTGTTTAATAGATGTTACATCAATTTCCATGATAATCTTTGTTTATATCTCTTTTTTAATTTACCTCCACTTATATCGAAATACTTCAAACAATCGTGACTTTGATACTTTGATAATGATTACGTCTACATATTCATATAACGATCAATTAATAGAGTTACATTTAAAAGAACAATAATTTTGTTTTATCATATTTGAAAACTTTTAAATAACCTCGATATCTCTTACACATTAAATATTAGATAGAAATATACTATTCAGTTAATTATAAAATAAAATGAGTACTTATTCGTAATCTTGACGTTGTAAAAAGTGTTAATAATTAAAAAAATTTTTTTCAGGGTTATTCAATTTGTATCGTTTTTGAAAGTTAAAAACAAATTGCGAATTTCAATTATATCGTATTGTTGTCGTCATCATTAATCTATTTATGATGAATATATGAATTATTAGCATTTTTGATAAATTATGTAGTGGCAATAGTTTATTTGTAATTCACATTCTTTTTGAACGAAATAGATGAAACATATATATTGCAATAACAACCTGATTTAATTGCAACTTTATTAATATTAAGCGATAATATATCGAGCGTTATAAATGCTAGCATTTATACTTTAGAGGTTAATGTAGAAGTATATCGAAATCGAAACTTGAGCGTTTGTTTGGTATGCAGAAAGAATATCTTAATTAGCATTTTCTATGAATTAACAGAAATGATATCATTATGTATAGTATAACGGAAAATATTAATCGTAAAATTTACTAATTTTACTAAGGCTCGTTAAAATTCCAGTTTTAAAGACAGAATCTTTTTTCCATGTATACGTACTACTCGTTTAACCAATCGAACCACGATAACAATACGACGTCACGAAAATACTAGCTACCATTGGTTAAACCCTAAATCTACAAAAATGAAATAATAAAATTAATATGCAACTGTAATTGCAATCAACGTAAACCGAAAACATTTTGCATGTTATACTTTTATTAAATTATCAGCACAATGATGAATCTGAATTGTTACAAGTTAACTAAAAAATATTACTTGAATCATCGATAAATATGTGATGTCTCTTAAAAAAAAAATATTAGCTCAACGTGCATTGATCAGTAGGTCCAAAGCTGAACGTTCTTTTTTGTTGGTATTTTGCGCGGGAGATTGATCGAGAGATTGTAATAACGAGAATATTTCGTTGAAACAACAGATTATATGAAAAAAGCTTGAATACGTTGGATATACTTATTGATCGATCGGCCACGATCCTTGAATGATTTCAAAATTACTTGTACCGAAGAAAAATCTGTACATCAGATACGGTTAGTAAGGTATCGAGAATATTTCGATTGGTCGAAACGGTAAACTTGTTCTTTCCTGTATCAACGATTAACCAATACCGAGCGGCCTGTTGCGCCGTCGCCACTCCACTTGGAACCTATGAGGACGTAGCTGTAGCGTACAGAGAATGAAGGCTCGAACGCTCAAAAGATATGTGAAAATAATTGTATAAAAACATATAGAATTCTAATCTGGTTTATTTTTCGTGTGTTATGTATTAATTGCTTGCATCGCGTTAATAATTTTCCTGGAAAAGATTAGTTTTTTATAGTTCTATGCAACCTCTTATTCCAGTGAAAAGTGCGTGCGCGTTGTGTTCGAGTGATTCGTGATGCGCGACGAACCGATTTGTAAAAGTATTTGAACAACCGTGTTCGTGTTGTAACAGTTGAAGCTGTTTGTTTGAACAATGTTTAGCGATCTATAGAATGCGTGGAATGAATACTTGCTTCACGAATTGGGCTGAAAACGTGAAAAATAATAACATAACTCCACTCAGCTAGAATAGTTAGGCGCGTGTTTCAAACGGTGTTAGTGATTCTCCTGACGCCCAGTTATGGCCAGTCGTGATACAACGGCGTTAGTTATTAGAGTCTACAAATTACATTGAAATTTAGTTTGCCAAATTTTTTCCTCGATGCTTAGAAAACTTTACAATTATTCGTGAATTATGTAACTAGTTACAATTCTATTTGCTGATAGAAGATCTTATATACTGTTAGGTTTGTAGAATTACGATATGTCCTTTCCGCTACGTTTATTCCTCTGATTCATCGTACAGATTTCTTTGTAAGTTAGTTGAATATTTATTTCGTTATTTAATAAAGAAGTTTTTATGAAAATCTTTCAGGTTTAATTTTCTAAATGCAAACGAAATGTGAGATAGCATTACTGTTATTTTTCAATATTTTAACCACGTGTTTTTATATGATATTAGAAGTATATCGTTTAAACGAATCAAAATTTGTAAAACTTGAAATTTTTTCATTCTTATCAAATCATTCATAAATGATCATAATGAAAGATTGTTTTGCATCTCTGTAAAATGTATTTTGTTATATTGTTTTTATAGAATGGAAGAAGAAATAGTTGTAGATGATATAGATGAAAATAGTAGCTCAGAAACTCTACAATCAGACGATCCAACAACATCCGTCATGCCTTTATTATATATTCAACAAAGTAAATTGCGTTCCGCACCAACAACAACAACAAACCAAGCCATGGTTTCGTCTAATGCTCCTCAGCTTGCTGCCATTATTAATCCAGTCAATAATCAGGTAATTCAATAAATTTTAATATTTTAATAGTTTCATAGCATTCCGTTTGTGCTTGGGCATTCCGTGTTCAAGGCAAGAATAAAAAATATACATACAATTTTTTTATAGATATTAGTGTTTTTACTTAAGCTCTTACATAAGTAGATTAATATGTTACACTACATGGTATAATAAACCACTTAGTTATACATACATATTTAGGTCAGAGTAACCTATAATTGCATTAAATAATCTAAAATAATTGAGATATAATCATGTATTATTAAGTACCTACAGCTTGAATCAGTCATTGTAAACTTGACAGAAGATGTTGATATACAAAGTGTGAAGTCTTATTACATTTCATATGTAGGTGGTAGCATTGAATGGTGTACTACTTTATAGTAAATATAGATTTGTTCAACATACTTGCTACAGTGGAGCACAAGCAGAACAACATAGATTAGATTAAACATTATCTTTTTTAATCATTCAGTATTCTTAACATATTTTTAATAAAAATATTTTAAATGCTTTTCGAATAAAATAAATTTCTTAAAAAGTAAGATGTTTTTCATTGAATTACATTAAATTACACAACTCTTCACAATGGGCAGACGACTGAATTGGTTTAGATTGATCTGTCAAAACTTGTAAACCAATATCTGTCTGGAATATGTAAGTTGCTTTGATGTCATTAATGAGTCATTTGTTTTACTTTTGTTTTAGATTGTCACAGGACAAAACAAAGTATTTATACAAGGGCCAAGCCAGGTTACTACTTCTCAAAGTAAACAACATATTGTAATTCATCGGCCAATTAATACTGTTAGTACCACAACAACTTCTCAAGGACAGAAACATATACTGCTTAGAAAATCTAATACATCCACTGCTCAGATTGTGCCCTTAAGTGCTTCTCAGGGAAATCAAAGTAATGCACAAGCAGGCAAACATACATTTGCGTATCTTGGAACTCTCATTAAACCCAACAAATCACGCGAATCTGTTGTCATTCCAGCAGGTAATTTTATTTATAAACAGGTGGTGAAAAGTATTTCCTATTCAGATGATCTTAAGTTTACATGTTGATGTTTGTTAACAGGTGCATTAACAACAACTCAAATAGCTAAACCAAAATTGGTAATTGCACCAGTTATATCACAGTTAGCTCAAACTTCGACGAACACTACAGTAGTATCTCAAAGTCAACCCCCTAAACACATGGCAAATTTATTACTACCAGTCAGTATTCCTCAACAAAGTGTACCTACTAAATCCAGTATGTTCAACTTAAAAATTAATAATGGCCAAATTAATAGTGATAACAAAGGAACCATTACAGGTATGTAATTGAAAATCCTTATGAATATTTCTTTTTTTTTAAAATGAAAATAAATTATTTTTTTTTTTACATTATAGTGTTACGGGAATCAAAAACAACAAATTCAGTCTCACATCCGCCACCTTTGCATCCTATTGCAAAAATGAGTTTATTAAATGCAAATAAAGGAAATAATAATTCCACAGACAGTATAAAAATTACAGAAAATCCCGATTCTGCTGTGATTACACCTATTCCAAAAAAAGATGATATTAATATGCCTGAGAAACGAAAAAAAACCATAAGTAATATATTACGGGGATCCAGTGAAAAGAGAATGAAAAAACAAAATCTTTCAAAGTCTTCACAGGAGAGTCTGGTTGATGTAAGTTATGCTCTAAGTAGCCCAGAATCAGAACAAGACAAGGACAAGAAAGTGCAAAACGATGATGATATTACATTGATTAAAGTAGTTCCTAGTGAAGATAAAGCTATAAAACTTCCTAATACGAGTATGGATGATGATATAAAAATAGAGATTATTAAAACGCGCACAAGTTGTGGTGTTGAGTCAATATCAGACAATAAAAATGACTCTAAAGTCAATAATCATGAAGATATAAAAGATCATTTAAACGCAACACATCCGAACGATTCGAATTTTGATGCTGCAAAAGTCCTAGATTGGAAAGATGGTGTCGGTACACTTCCTGGAAGTACACTAAAGGTGTGTAAATATAACATTCAAAAGTTAAATTATAAATGATTTAATATTTTAAAATAACATTAATATTTTACAGTTTCGTATGAATGAATTCGGTATTATGGAAGTAGTAGACGAGGACGAAACTAACAAACAAAGTAAAGATAGTATCGGTGACAAAGAAAATGTTTGTTCAACTCAGAATTCATCAAAGTCCAGTACTCCAACTGTGAATAATATTAACGTTGAGAAGAAACGTGAGTATCAAATAATTGTGTTTTCCTCGAAACATATTGATACGGATATTTCTAAACGATATTTATTTCTAGCTGATGATAGAAAATCTAGAACCGTCTCGGCGGACACGATGTATCATTGCGAAGGTTGTGGGTGTTATGGTTTAGCTGCAGAATTTGAAAGTCCAATATCGTGTAGTCCATCTTGCACAGAAATAATAGAAGCTAAATCAAAACAACCTGCCATACGAAAAGAAAAAGACTTAAAGTAGGTCGTTGAGTAAAATTTTTTCAATAATTAACAGATGGTTAGACATGCATTTATTTCTACGTGTTTTTACAGAGATTTACGCGCAAAACGGAAACGTAAAAAGTTATTACAGGAACAACAGCAGCCTAAAGAAATAGATGAAAAGTCTGAAGAAAAAGTGCAGGACAAAGTAAGATCCGAAACGGATGAAGATACGAAAGATACTATCACAGCAATGGATGAGGAGAGCCAAGGAGATTCTACCGAATCTAAGGTATGTACAACCAAACTCTGTTTACAGAAGTTATTGAAACTTACTGCTTATAAGTGTGTCTCTGTATGTAGTATCCTTGGCAGACAGGAAAACTGGGATTTTCGTGGTCGAAGTATCTTGAACATTGTAAAGCAAAAGCAGCGCCTGTTAAACTATTCAAAGATCCTTTTCCATACACTAAAAACCATTTCAAGGTTGGAATGAGATTAGAAGGAATAGATCCCGAACATCCGTCACGTTATTGCGTTCTTACAGTTGTGGAAGTAGTAGGTGAGTAGTGCAAAATTGTTATTTAAATTTAGATGACTATACGTGGCATATTGTACGTATTTATTTACAACAGGATATAGAATACGTCTGCATTTCGATGGATATCCAGAAAATTACGATTTTTGGATAAATGCAGACAGTATGGATATATTTCCTGCTGGATGGTCAGAGAAGAACGGACATCGATTAGACCCACCGAAAGGTTACGTGGCGAGTAATTTTAATTGGAATGCGTATCTTAAAATTTGCAAAGCTACCGCAGCACCGAAAAATATATTTTCAAATAAAAGTGTGAGTAATTACATTGAATTGTGTAATCGAATTTTATAGCTTCTAAGGATTCTAACAGGTATATTCGATTATTTCAGTCGGTCTTTCCAACTGGTTTTCGTGCAGGAATGAAATTGGAAGCGGTAGATAGAAAACATTCTTCGTTGGTTTGTGTAGCTAGTATAGCAGGCCTAATGGATTCTCGCATATTAGTTCATTTTGATTCTTGGGACGAAGTGTACGATTATTGGGCTGATGCAAGCTCTCCATATATTCATCCTGTGGGATGGTGTCATCACAATGGTCACAGTCTTACACCACCAAATAGTAAGTTAGAATCGAATTAGTTTTATTCTAGAACTTCTTCCGAAAGAAAATGGTTAATTTTTTTTCTTTTAGATTATAAGGATCCAAAATCTTTTACATGGGATACATATTTGAGAGAAACCCGTTCTATGGTTGCACCAGCAAGAGCTTTTAAACAACGACCACCTTGCGGATTTAAGCGCGGAATGAAACTTGAAGCAGTCGATAAACGTGTGCCACAACTCATAAGGGTAGCATCGGTTGAAGATGTGAAAGATCATATGTTCGTAAATTATGAATATTTCTTTCTAACCGAAATATTACGATTCAGATAAATTATATACATTTTCACGCCATAGGTTAAAGATACGATTTGATGGATGGCCAGAAAATCACGCGTATTGGGTCGACGACGATTCTCCGGATATACATCCTATGGGTTGGTGTTTGAAAACTGGTCATCCTTTGGAACCACCATTAAGTAAGATTTATTAGTCCATTATTTAGTCTATTATCTATCAGCCTATTTCGAGTAACTCTATTATTCTTTATTATAGCTCCGGATAATTTGAACGACAGACCGGAATGTGGAACGTACGGTTGCAGAGGAATAGGACACGTGAAAGGACCTAAATATGCGACGCATAACTCTGCATCTGGTTGTCCATATTCACCTCAGAATCTTCATAAAGTTAGACAGTTGTCGGATAGACTGAATTTAAAACATGAAACATGTGATTTCGAGGAGGATGTACAAGATAAACCAAAAACAGAAAAGACTGATAAAATAAAAATGGAGAAGTCCGAGAAACTCGAGAAAATTGAGAAACCATTCTTTTCGGATGAACGCTTAACGAAGACTGAGAAAGATACGAAGCTGGAAGACGGTGATTTCTACGAAAAACATTACAGGCCTGACAATTTAGAAAAGTACATTACACGAACAGTTTATATAATTGTATTTCTACGCTTTTCATATGTTTATACGAATTAACAATTTGTTATTCACACAGGTTAAACAGATCGAAACATCATCACAGCGATGGACAGACGGACGATGACGAACTTTTAAGGAAAAGAAAGAAAAGGTTTGTTCCCTTCTAACTTTATTCAATTTTATATGTAGAACTGTTAGTTCAATAATTATTGATTTAAAATATTTCTATAGACGACAGATATCTGAAGAGAACTTATACTCTCTATCAAATAGTTATAGCGATTCACCGTTAAATTCGATGCCATACGCACCAAATATGCCTGATAAACAGTTGCGTACAGAGTTGTATCAATCTGTCTATACTCCTGGATACAATCCATTACCGGATGCACCACATATATGGGCGAAACATAGCAACGCTTTAAACAGAGTAGTAGCGAAGCAAAATACAAACCCTCGAAGATGGTCAAACGAGGAAGTGATCAAGTTCATACAGAGCGTCCCTAATTGTAAAGAGATTGGAAATATTTTCAGGAAACACGTATGTACATGTATTAAAACAAGAAGAAATTCGACACATTTATCTAACTTAATTTACATACATATGTTATATGAAATATCGAATCTTCTTTTTCATTTGCAGAATATCGATGGCGAGGCATTTTTAATGTTAACTCAAGAGGATTTAGTGTCGTTATTGGGACTGCGTCTTGGCCCTGCTATTAAATTATACAATAGCATAGTTCTTCTGCGACGAAGGGCAACGTGAATCGGGTGCGATGAACGCACACATACTTGGATCTTGCAAAGTGTAAAGTGGCAGCTATCGCGACGATAATGTCAAAAGTATTTATTTGAGGATTATAACGAATCATCGAGATGGAAACATGTACTTTCCATCGAGATTAAGGACGTTGATTTAATTGTAATTGATAAGAGAAAAACGAAGGAGAGATTTCTTAATTTGATAACGCAAAAGGATCGATTGTTGGAAAAGTGAAAAAGACTATTGTGTGGCAATTTAAAACTGAAATGGACGATAATCTTGACTTTATAAAATATAAGTATAGCCCGAATTTACGCGCATGATAAGTACTTACGATTGTCCGTTTTAATTTTTCTTATACAGTGAAGTGCATTCAGTCATGTACAAATGTAAATATTAATAATCTTAATAATTAAATATTGTAATACAAAAAAATATGATAAGGTCTCGAAGAAATTTTCTTAACCTGCAGTACTAGTTCAATTTCGATTTCTCTCGTTGGAGTTTATTAGTGATACATATTAAAATTGGATATTTTTGATAACACTATAGTGCAGTGATTATTAGATTATAAAATGATTGATTAATTCCTTCATGCTTCCATAACTTAAGACATTTCATTTTTTTACCAAACAACACACAGAAGTTAATGTATTCTTATTGAAGTAACGATTGTATACATATAAACATAAACATGAAATAAAAACAAACCATATCGACATATTGGAAATGAATTATTCCCCTTGAGTAGATCAAGTTTGAAGGTTTAAAGTATCTACTTAGAAAATAATTAATATTTAATTAAATATAATAGGAATCTCTTACCGACGTAGGAACACGTAGGAAAGACGGAGTGCTGCTCCATTTAAACAACGTTATCCCTCTCTACTCGTTCCTGGCATCGTGCCACTCGTCGTCGGTTTATCCCCTCTCCTTTATTAGACGCCAGCCAGCGAAGTGGCTGCTATGGCGATGTTTACAGCGTAGTCACGGCGACCGGCCATGTGTTCAGTACTGTTCAGTCGGTGGTTTGTCGCGCACCGGTTAAGAGAAGGTTGTCGTGCGTGTGTTTGTCTCGTGGTTCTTCGTGTACCTTCGTTTTACGAAAGCGTTCTCGTGCATAGAAACCACTTGACACTGACAAAACTAAACACTTGGCGTCCTACTGCTGCAGGTTGTTCGACATCCTCCACTTGCAAACTACTCTGGCTTTCGTAGCAGTTACGATAATTAAACGATTCAGAGTACAATCACTTAAATTGTTAAAAATTCGAGCAGACGATTTTGTGAATTTAAAACTTCTTGCAACTTTATTCGTGAAACACATTTTAACCGAATTCGGTGGTGGCTTGGATAAACGTTGGAAAATCGAGACAATGATAGTGTCGTTGAAAACTTGGTACGAAATAACGCATATTAAAATATCCTGTGCCTCGGTCGCGTTTAATCTACAAAGTGACAACGTACACGCGAAGAAGAAATTTTACGTATGATTGCGTATTTCGAATCGAAGATAATTCGCGCGAGTCGTTGACATGCGCAGTTACGTTAGTTTCCCGCTAGGACGTTCGATTTAGAGATATCGAAAAGAATCGGAAGTTGCTCTTTTCGATGAGAATCGAAGGAGTTCGAGAAGTGAAGAAGAACAGTGACTAGCGTCGTATGTTATGACTGGCGTATTTTTTACGAGGCAAAAGGAGGAGAACGATGTGGGGTGGTTGCCGTTGATCGTTGATGAACGAGAAAAGCGCGAAAATCTCGAAGAAGAAGGACGGTCGGTGAAATTTGGCGGCGGGGGTGGGCCGCAGGCTCGTTTGTCGGTGATTGGCGCGGGATACACCGGCACCGGTAGTGCTAAAATGCCCCGTGGCCTGCCGACTAGACGAGGTCTCCAGGCGTTGGCACTTGTTCTGGCCACCGCTTATGCTACGATTCTCCTTTATCAGGCCGTTGCACCTCGTCAGGTAAGTTTTATAAATTCCAAGTACCTGCAACGCCGAATTAAGGGTAGGTCTAAGCAGAGGTCTAAGGGGGCTACAGCCCACTTGCCAGGGAATTCCTTTCTAAACCTTCCATTTACTATGTCAAACATTATGGAATGAATTTTTGTTACCATTGCACTATTTCTTTACGATTAAACGTCATTTAATTTTATTTAGAATAAATTTCAATTTTTGAATCGAGTTTTTATCAATCAAGGGGGCCCTCGGATGTCCGATAGCCCCCGGGCCTCAAGGATCTTGATCCACCCCTGAGTACCCATAATTCCGTCGTTTAAAAAATTATTTCAACCGTCAATTGACTCGCGTAGTAGGTGTCGCTAGATCGACTTTAGTGGTAGGCGTCTCGAATTAGTTGTAACGAAGGGTAAATCGGTAGCCAGTTATGTTAATCGAGCGACAAATCAGGTAAGTGTAACACGTTCGGTCGAGTTTGTTTTCATTTCGAGCCACGGAACGGGGATACACGTTCTATCGTGGCGTGCACGTGCTCGCTTCCTTTCCAAGAATCGTCGTTGATCGAATTGTCGCGCACGATGTTTACGAAGTATCACGAGTTAACACGTGTGTCACTTTGTTTTCAGTGGGTAGACGAAATGACGGTCGAAGTGAACAGTCGAAGCGTACTGGTGGAAATACCAGTTTCGAGGAGAACGATAAGCGAAGAATCGTCGGTAACACCTGCAATCGCAACGGCGACCATGGCACCGTTCACCACGAATCTCAACGACGTGTTTATCAGCGTCAAGACTACTAAACACTACCATCATTCTCGTTTGCCGGCGATCATCGGCACGTGGTTTCAATTCGCCAAAGATCAGGTAAGTTTCGAATCATCAGGCGTGCATATTTAATATTTAAACAATTCGAGAAAGCTCCGACGCCATCTTGGCAGTAGCTCAAGTCACGTGACATTTTGGCGCCGTCATATTTTAACCCTCTTAATCGTAAAATGGCGCGCTAATTTCTTTCCTTTTATAATAGAAAATATTACATGTAGAACTTTGTTTTTCCTCTTAAACAATATTAGGTAGATACTTTTTTAATTAGCAAAACCCAAGAAGATATCACGAGGGTAATAATCAATCCTTAGAATTGGCTGGACATCTGGTGAGAATAATCGCGACTTTGTGTGCGATTTGTTACCGTTCGACGGAGCATGTACGATCTTGACGAGATCTCGTGGGAACGGGATTTACTCTATTTCAGTTTTACCGTTTCTTATGTTCACTTTTCTCTGCTGCTCGTTCATTATTAGCATCCACACACTTGGTGACCAACTCTACGAACAGTTGCATTGTTTCTACCCGGAACAAACGAATTTTATCTGTTCATTCTTCGCGTGTATCTGCTCAGCAGTCGCCGCGTAGTCTCCCTTTTGTATTCGTTCGTTTATCAGACTGTCTTCGTTGCTCTTCGGTAACCGGAGGTGTAGTAACAAACATTCACGGTACCGATCGAGCAACGGGCTAGTAGCGTACAACTTTCGCGATATTATCTCCCCACGACTAATTGCATGCATTGTACTTCCTCTCTCGTTTCTTGGCCGGCACTGGCGACGCTTCCTGGAAGCGGGTAGCCGAGAAAAGTCGCGGTGCCAACAATCGAGCCAGAAAGAGATTCTCGGGAATTGCGCATTTGCGAGAATTACTCTGCACCCAAAAGGCCCCATTTCAGAGCACTTATCTTCTTGAGCCGGCACGATATTCGCCAGTTAGGTACTCCTTTTGTCGGTTTGGTTCTCTTTAAGGCGCGTTAGACCCTTAGGGAGGCCCGTTCAATGAATTTAAACTAAATTTTTGCCGAATTACATCTTTTCTTGTTAACGAATATACATCAATTACTAGACGTTTTAGTAAGAACGAAACGAAGCAAACTTAGCTCTCACGGTTCACTTTTGACCCTCGTTACCCCCATGGAGCCCCATGTTAAATCGATCCACCTTTTTCCTGATCGTTTAATCACGCGGCGCGTACGGATCAGTGATACCAGCATCCACGTCCATTTCGATCCTTTAATCGCGTGTAATTTGCGAAACAAACGGTGATTAACATGATTCTAGCCGGAAAGGGGATTTAACCCTTTATCGTTATACCGTTTTCCCAACGAATCCTGTTTGATGCGTTAGAAATATTAGCAACGAATTGTTGTTTCATTTCACGGTGCCTCGAATTCGCAATCCAATTTACAAAAGATGATTTACCGCGAGGAAAGGGAAAGGAAGGGTCAGGTAGGGAAACGAATCATTGCCCGGAGCTCTGAATTGTTTTACACGTTAGAAGGCTCGTTTAAAATGCAAATCGACTCCTTTCAATGTTCAGCCAAAGCTTCGTTCCTTTTCACGGTTCACGGTTTCATCTATTCACCTGAATGGCACAGTCTGCCCAATTCTACGTAGGATTATTTTAACAGAAACTCTTTTTCATTTGGAAAATTAACGCGGTACCATTTTTGTCTCCCATTATTCTAAACCTTTTCCGATTCGCAATTCGACAGTCATCGTTCTCGATTGCTCGCTCGTTAAAAGCGTGCCGATAGGTATTCGTTTCGAGAAAAAGTTCATCTTTCTCGAGCAAAGAGATCGATCTCCAGCGAACCGTTTGTCATTAGTTTCAGTGACTCGCTCCGCGTTGCAACCCTTCAATTCACAAAAGGTATTTTCGCTTCTGAATCGCTCGCGGATAATTGCTCAATTACAACGTTTATTTATCCGATATTGTCCGCTGACTTTGGAGCTGTAATTTAACAGGACAAAAATATAGAGTATCCAGGGTGGCTACCTTTTATTTTCATACCGATACTCATCAAGGAAATTGATCTCGAAATTGATTGGACATCCGTTTCGCTCGTTAACAGGATCGAGCATGAAACACCGCTTACTCGAAGAACATTTTGCGATATAATTTCGAGGAAGTAGTAGCTGGAGTCCAATCGAGATTTGAATTTTAATCGAGAGATTACCGAGACGAAGGATCCTTTTCCAACGAATATTAATTAATTAGGCCCTGAACTCCCTTCGTAAGTACGTTCGCGCCTGTTTCAGCCGCTCCGTACGTGCGTGGATTAATGTAATTACGTCGATGTAACGCGACGCCGGTGCCACTGACGTCATGGCGTTTCTCTCGTCTCTCTCACGAGAGTCCCTCGTTTGCCGGATATTCGTGTTCCTTCTACGAATGCTGACGGAGGCTTTCGTATTCTTTTTCTTCTTCGTCGACGTTTTAATAGCCATAATACCGGACGCCACGTTTCTGAATATTTTAATCGATCGAGCGTTCGAGCTAACATTCGGAGCGATTCGATCAAGGGGCTATACCAGTGTAACACTTTTGAAAAATCGATTTTGTTTTTTGCATTTTTTGAAAGTCTATACTCCCTAGAATATCGTATTAAAATTTTAAGGTCGAATCTCAAATAGTTTAGGAATGGCAACGTTCTAAAGAGTAACTGTTGGCGTGTCAGAAACGCGCTTACCGCCGATGGATCGCGGTATCTCTCAATTTTGCTGCAGCTGTAACTCGAATACAAATTATTGCATCGACTCGAAACTTTCTCGGATTTTTATGATCGGACGAAAAATGCCAATTTGGCATTAAAAAAACTACGATTTTTTTCGGCTAAATACCAAACTTTTCTTCAAAACTTCGCCATTTCGTCAGATTTTGATATTTTTCAAAAATCCTAGTTCATGGTACGGAGAATACCTTCTAGTTTAACAACGTCTTAGTCATTTTTCATTTTGAGCACTCAGACGGCGGTAATTACTGCAGCAGTGGAGCAACTTTTTTTTTTTAGAGCCCTGGAAGATAGCGTATAAGTCGCTTGTTATTTATTATTTTTGTACCAAAAAATTATTATAGATATACGACTTGTAACTAAATACATCTCTAAAGTTTGAAAACATTTGATGTTATATTTCTTAAAAAAAAAAAAATTCTCGAAAATCACCTAATTTTAGAGCGGTCACACTGGTATAGCCCCTTAACACGTTGACTACCGTGGGGGTCACCGGTGACCGGCATCGCAAATTACACGTACTCCAATAATTAAAAGAAAACGATAGAAAAATATTATTTTCAATAGTATTGTTATTATACTAATAATGTAAAGTATCAAATTAAAAGCTTGACATTTGAAATTTGAAAATTAATTATTCCTATTCTTAATATTAGGTCATCCCATAAGTTCGTGCCGTTTTTTGAACGGTCCCATGTGTTAATGTCTTTAAATGTGTATGAATTGTTGTTTTTGGTATTTCTAGAATATTTGACATCTCATGAACTGATAAATTAAGTGATTTCTCTACAAGATCTTGAATTTTGTCTTCCTGTGTCTGAGAAAGACGACCAGAACGTTTCTCATCTTCTAAACAAAAATTCTCATTTTTAAAACGTGTAAACCATTTTCTACAGTTACGAGATGAAAGAGCAGTTTCTCCGCAAACAGCACATATATTGTTTGTCGCAATTGTTACCGAACTTCCTTTTCGAAATTCATATAACATTAGATGTCGGAAACGAATACGAATTTCACTCATCATTTTTAACTGTTAAAAATCAATGCGTTCACTATTTCACGATCCAATACCCATGAAAATCTCTTTTAGACTGCCCTCAAACAGATAAACTGAAGTGCATTGGTTTCTTATCGCCTTGTGTTTATAAATCGAGGCGTGAAATGTATACATACAAAAGTCGGCACGAACTTATGGGATGACCTAATAATTAGAGTTTTAATACGTCTCGTAACAAATGCCCATTTTCACTGTGGCATTCAACGTGTTAAGGTGGGAGGGAATCCGCGTTTCCTTCGGTTTCCTCGACGAAAGCTTATCCGAGAAATTGTGAAAATCCTCGAGACAATACTGGTGACGTCTGGTTGCGCCACTGTTTCCCCTCGTTCCGACGTTCTTGCAGCCGTGTTCACTTCCTGAAGGCAACTTGGGAACTAAAAATAGTCGACTGCTTTAACACGTGCAACGCACCAGAGTACCGAGGGGCAAAATAACAGAATCTAACGCGTTTCAAAGGTGTTTCGGAGCTTAGAAAATTATTTAGTTGGAGGCGAAAGTGGCGTTGGACGGACCCGATCCGGTTCGATCGAACGGAAAAATCGAAATTTATGATCGGTACGTGACACGGCATGGTCGACACGGCAACAAATATCTAACTGGCTGTGTCAATGGATTCTAATAATCGTGTTTCTGTTTTTCTTGCTGCTTTCAGACGTGGTTCTTCACCGACCGTGACGACCCGTACTTCCAGAACCAAACCAGTGAGTATTTCTATCAGTCTACCAATCTATCGATTCTATCAATCTCGTTATTTTTATTGAAACATGTAAAGCGTGTTCCCTGATAATTCCTTTGCACGATATCCTAGAAATTTTTCTTCATAATGGGAGGGTTTAGGAACGCCGCACAGTGGGATAAAACTGTTTTGAGCGATCAAAATTCTGTAACTTCGGTTCTATTGGAAATATTTTAAGGAAATTTTGTAAAGTTTTTGCTTACATTATGATACTCAAGTTGTATTAATATAAATTATATTGAACTACAGGGTGTCAAGATATTCACGTATAAACTGTAGCGCGTTCAATATTCTTCATTGGTTAGACATATTTTATGTTATTTAACAAAAATTTGACTTAAAACTGTTAATAACTGTAAGAAAAATGGATATAATAATTAAAAAATGGCAAGACATGTGTTATTATAATATATTTATTTATATTTATTATAATCTATACCAAATCATTCGTGAAAAACGTTTCGATAATTATGAAAATTTATTATGGCATATTGCAAGGACGAAATAAAGTTTTGCAATGATTAATAATAACAGTTAATAAGGCAGTTAACTAAATCTTCGCGCGCAGCGGCCAAGATGGGTGTAATTTCATTCAATCGCCATTTTCTTAAAAAAGTGCACCGGATTTTTTCAGATTCTGATAGAGGAAGGTTCACTCTTTCCTCCAGTAATAATTAAACATGTGGCAAGTTGTGGCATTTTTTTAAAATCAAACTCAAAGTTGAGATTCTAGTTAAACGTACTTCGTTTCAATCAGATCCTATTATTTAAAAAGTTGTTAACATTTTAACTTACTTTATGCACTGAATAGAATCTATACAAATCTAGTAAACTTTATCATTCATTTGAATTGTATCTTTCCGAGTAAAATTCATTAGAATCGTACATAGAAGTTACTGGTAATTAAATATTATCAGCGTTTCGTTTTGACGAATTTCTACTGACTTTGAGTGCGAACCACGGCAAAACGGAAGCAAATATGAAAAAAACGGATTACACTACGTTAAACTACAGTTTATTCTCTATCGATGTATGTAATTAGTTTCTTAATTTTCGATAATTTTCTTAACGGCCGAAAGCCGTTTTGTCCCAGTGTGCGCCGTAGAGGCACGCCTCGCCACGGCTGTCGCGAAGTCCGTTAATTGAGGAAGTAATTAAGCCAGCGAGGCCGAAAATGTCGTTCATTACGATCACCGCCAGAGATGAGAGTATTCAGGAGAAATGCTTGGAAAACGGGGGATCTTAGATCTTACGCTGGTCGTTAATATTCGACAAACGAAAAGTATCATTTATCGTTCGCTCTCTGATGGATATCGATAGGGCGGCATGTTCGAAACTCGATTTTCGTTATTCTCGTCGAAAGAAAATAGCTGTGTTAAAATGGGAACAAGAGAGAGAGAGAGGAAAAAAATGAAACGAAAGCCACAGAGAGACGCGTTTATTTCTGTTGTAATACGAGGCAAGGATAATTATGACGGCGGGTCTTAATGGCTGCCCTCGTTTATGCGATAATTGCCAGCGAAACGAGCGCTTGTGTAGGAGCGGACAGCTTCTTTCGCTCGATTATTTCGACATTTTTCTCCTTTTAACCGTATCGCGATAGCTTATTCGCGGGCAAGTCCGCCGTAGCGAAAAGGTTAACAAACTGCATAGGAGATTTCCATAAAGATAGTCGAAGAATCGAGTTCGATAATTGCGAATTCGAAAAGTAGAAAGTCTTTCTAACCAGTTTCATGGGATCAGGATATCTGGACGTTGGATAATCGCGCGACAACTGACGCAACCGGATGATCCTTCTCGTTCGAATCAAAGGAAAAAGAAAATGGTTCGAGCCAGAGATCAGGCCGGACGAGATTCCAGCAACGGCAGATGGGGTGACCGGTTTCCCGTTCTCTTCTTTCTATACGATCGATCGCGTCGATTATCCTCGATATCCTCGATATCCTCGATATCCTCGGCCACGCGTGAAAATGACGCCAAAGACCGCCACTCACCGTCCCGACGTGGAACGTTTCAATCTAACAGCTCTTCTCTTCTAGAAAATAATCGGAAAATAACAAAGAATTGCATTATTTTTCACGCTTCCTGTATACATGGTGCTCGCACCCCGGCGCGATGGGTAGTAGTGACGCAAAACGCGTCAGTTATCCGTATAGCAGAAGGCGTGGGTGGAGGAGGATGCCGGCTACGTAAAAGGACGAAGGAGAAGGGATGAGCACGCGAACCCTCGGGCACCGTCCGACATTTGACCTCAACACGCGCTCTGCACCGGTTTGCACCTCCACCATCACCCTTCCCCTTTCTACCTGCCTCCTCGCATAATCCACCCTTCGTTTTCCGCCTTTTCATCCTACTACATATGTACCACCAACTTTTATCTTCCTCCAATCTTCTCAATCTTTCTCCCTTGCCTCAGCAATTTCAAATTCGTTATATTATAGTAATTTCTGAATGTTCACGCGGGTTGTCATTCGTCGTAGGGTGAAATTGTTCGACAGGGTGGTCGAGAGTCTGGGAACAGGTAGACGGTATCAGGAGGATCACGTGGCGGTGGGTCGAAACGCATTGGCGGTGGCTGCTGAAGGAGCGGCAGCTATCGAGCCGAATTAATTAAGCCTCTGTAACGTCGACCCACGAGGATGATTATTAACCTCTTAATTAATTGCACGCCCACCCTTATGGTTAAACCTGCACCTTCCTCTTGTTTGCTTGCAGACGGCCATATGATCAACACCAAGTGCTCTTCCTCCCACAACAGGCGAGCCCTTTGCTGCAAAATGTCCGTCGAATTCGACAGGTTCCTCGACAGTGGCCGCAAGTGAGTACCGTTTATCAATTTTTCTTTTTCTTTTCTTTTAGCCTCGTCTCGATTCTTCGATCGGAAAAATAAAATTGAAACTCGGGGTATATTTTTGAGGAACAGAGGGTGCGGCAGGACCGTCGAAAATTCGTGTTTGGATAGGGAAGCACGATGCTCGCGAGTGAAAATATTATTTTTGGTAAATCGTCGGCTAGAAAAAACACGTCTAATGGGCCAGCGGTCGTCGTCGCGAACCAATTACCGCGTTTCGGCCCTATTCCCTTTCATAATTTCATCTCTCGAACTCCATCGTTTTTATTTATTTTCCCGACCGTTCCACGTTTTCAAAACTTGCCGAAATGGAATTTTAACGTGTTTACGTTACCCGCCTGTGTACACACTTCAATCGACTCCGTTGATCGTTGTCACTCTTTTCACAGAGAAATGAATATTTCTTTTCTCTCTTATTCCGAAGTCAATTGGTTTGATTTGAAAACTTTTGCTTTTGAAGATATGCCTGCTAGGCTTGTACGTAGCTTTCATGGAAAATTGTGGAAAAAGCGAGGCAAGAAAGGAAGCTTTTCCATGGGAAGTTGAGTGGTTGGCTACCGAAAACAGCCTCCGTAGGACATTTATCAAAATACTTGAAGTGTGTGTCCGGGTACTTGACGTTAGAAAAGAGGGGCAGAGTGTTTTGAAATTCTTTCCAGCAGTAGGTAGTTAGTTCATTCACCGTTAACCAAATATTTTTCACTCGAATCACCACTTAAATCCTACTCTCAACTTCCAAATAAACTACTACGAATGTATTTAGAAAACGTTAATTTTTCAAATTACAAAGGAAAAATCGTTTATTACTCGTTGCTTATGGGGTGACGAGTCGATATTTATGGGGTGGGGTTGGTCAGAGTTGTAAGAGGCGGATACGCGGTAACTGGCTTCCCGTGGTCGGATTAACAGCTGCAATTACAGCTTGTTCTCCACTCTCGGCAAGGATCGCGTAGTTGCTCTTTGATCCTCTCCATTTATCGCGGTTACATCGTCGGTGAGCTGGTTTAAGCGTTTCGCCGCTGAACCGGGTAAACACTCGGAACATCCGGCGTCCGAACAGAGGGATTGTTATGGGAAAAAGCGTCGCCGTCGCGTCGCGTCGCGTCGTCTACCGTTCGACTGACTCCCTCCCAGAACCAATAGCAATTCTCTCCTTCCATTTACAAGATTGCTCGAACAACGAAATATTAATTAATTCATCATTTTCCTCGTACGATCAATTGTCGTTCTCTGTTCATGCCTGAACCACGTGGTCCTGACGCGATCCTCTTCGCTTCTTTTCGATCGGTGGTTTCACGTGCATCAGGAGGAATCCTTTTGTCCCGCATCTCAGGGCTTGGGTCCTACAATAAGGAGGAGATTGTGTGCGGTAAAGTAAGGCTGAAGGTTCGTGAGGAGGAACAGGCAAGAAGGGATTAACGAGCAAAGGAAAGAGGTGTGCACCAGCTGGTCCTCCGGTAGACGATTCAATCTTCCTCCTTTCTCTTGCTTCTCCTTTCGACGCAAAGCCAGCAACAGAAAGAACAGCTTCACCAAGAGAAAAAGGGGTAAAGGAGTGTGTCTCGAATGTCACATGCGGGCTCCTTCCCTATCCTCTTCCTCTTGTTCGAAAGCCCCCTTCTTCATCTGCATCTCTAGTTTCTTTCTTCTTCTTAATTTTCTTTCTTTCGCCGTTTCGGTGTTCCGCTCGCTGCATGATTTATCGTAGCACGGAAACTTTTATACGCTTTCCGACAGGTTGCTGGAAAGCCGGTCTTATTGGTAGTACGCGTTCGATATTTGTCGGGATATGCATTCGGTGCAGTGATTTGTGAGCCTGTTGTCGTTTCATGTAGGCGATCCTTTTCTTCTTGTTTTTTCATCTTCCATCGATTTTTATTGGCAATGGTACACGAGGTTTTATGACCCTTTGAAATATTACGTTGGGTGCTTGTTGCTTTCGTTTCATCTTTCGCGGCGATTAAACGAAGGGTAATCTACCTTCTACTCATTTTATGCTCGCTTTCTTCTTTGCAATTTGAAAAGTTGCGGATGCAATTAGCATTGTTAATTATCGCTCCGATTGTTAACTTATTCAACTATTAAGTGAAAGAAGGTCATCGGATATCCCGGTCCAATGGTTAAGGCAAATTCTAATTAATCGTCCGAACCTGTTAAATTAGCGACGTCCGACCGCGATATCTTAATATTTTTCTGAAACGACGGGATTCCAGCCGGGCTGAAATTATCGCCGACGATTTTGCACCTCGCATCGTCCAATTATGCGAGCGTTTTACATGTTCCCCGTTTAGTTAGATCGGTGCTATCGATAAAGAACAGCAGCGGGCATAGCCGTGCCGCGAATTTATGGAATTCCTCTCGGCCACGCAGCTGCGCGCACCGTGAAACGTCCGAACGTTTCCAGGCCAATTCCCCTGGCTATTTACGAGACATTGCTTCTTCCTCTCCTCGCGATTCCTGCTCGATATTTCGCGCGATTTGCGACCTGCAACGTTGACGATCCTTTCCTCTACCGCTCGATAGATCCGTCACGCTCCGCTACGTTTTCTTTGAAAACTTTCGAATCACCCGGAAGATATTTTATTTACTCGTAGCAAAAAGAAAAAGAAAAAGAAAAAGAAAAAATTCTTGATAGAACTTATCGTTATCAGTGATCGCGAAGCAAATAGTCTTTGTGTAGGCGAGGCAAGGTACCGATAACCAAAGAAGGCGAAACCGACCGTGCTGTTTGAACGAAGCGATACACAGGTATCGTTGTGTACATAGAAAATCGCGGTTAGCCTCGGCTCGAAACGCGATAAGACAAGCTGAAACGCGGCACGCTGCTCGTCAACCGATTCGCTGATCCTTTCACCAAAGCCCTGCAATGGAGTACGTACACACAGCGATACCCTGTTGCACCTATAAATCATCGGTATCGTCGTTACCGATCAGAATTTCTATGGGTAACAACAATGGAGGAAACGGCGGCAGCTGATACCCGAGGTCCTCGTGATAGCGCGTTTTCGCGCCAGCCTGCTTCTGCAGGAAATTCATTTGATCGCTGGTAATTAATCGACAGGGTGAATATTTAATTACTTTAATCGTAACGCGAAATGGTTCGGAAAAATCTTACTTAGCTCGGAGGAAAAAGTATTCGGTATTTTATCCTCTCCTTTCTGGATGGGGAAAAAAAAGTGTACGCCTAAAGGCAGTTTCGCACGAGGCGATCTCGTATGTTGGTCACGCGACCAATTATCGAGAACACGATGAAAAACTTTATACAACCTGATCGATCGTCGTCGACCGGTTGTCGATGACTCCATCGATCCACGAGCTTGCTCGAGGTAACAACTCGAAAGCAACGCGTCCTTGAAGGAACACGCTCGACTTATACGTACTAATTAGCAATATTGTAATTACCGATCGTTCCTCAAGGTACTTGGAGAAACGAAGCTTCGATTCTGGGACAGCCTGTAGACTGTAGACGCGTTCAGGGTGCGGTCGGTCGAGGTTGGACGCGGATAATCCGGCGTGCACGCTTTCCTAACTGACATACGTGCAATCAGACACGCCTCGAGCAAAGGCTCAGGATATCCTGCGCTGGATGCTGCAATTACCGGCAAAAACTGGCAAAAAACTGGCTCCGTTGCTGGACACGACCAAGTTTCCGAGCAACGTTCGCGTGACTCGGTGTTATGCTACACGTAGGCAGCAGGGTTGCCGAGGGTAATGCCGCATAATAAGCGTTTAGGGACCACCCCGTTTTCTTTTTTCTTCTTCTCCCTGTCGTTCCCTCTTCTAAGCCGAGCTGTTTATTTATCAATAGGGAAATTTTCATCTGGAGCCGAGCGACAGGGCTCGTTTAAAATACCTGTTTCTTACGCGTACGTGTCCCATCGGGGCTGGCAGGTGTAGCGTCGTCGTCTTTACGTGATACGAATTCGGTGATACGAGAATCGTTCCGGGAATCTCGAGTTAGCGAGCAATATTATTTCTCCTCGTGGAAAATAAAACGCGGAGGAGGATTGTTCACGTACGAACGGGCTGGCTACTCGCCAGACTTGTCTTTTGTTCTTTCCTGCACGCGACCAGCCTTTCGACTCGATATACGCGTCGCAGAAATGGTAATGGCCGATTGGAATGCGTCTGTTGTTCGTTCACCACGTTTCATGCGGACGTTGACGATGTTCCTTTCTTTCTTTCTTTCTTTCTTTCCTTTTTTTTTCCCCTTCATTTTTCAATGCGACAGATACGCGGAGCCTTCGATACCGCGTACCTCTGTGTACGGTAGCGTTCGATCGAAGTTAACCAGAAGATAGCATTGGCTTTAGGGTTTAATATCGGCGGAGAGTACGTTTCATCGTTTCAAGGAGATTTATGAAGCGGGTTTGATTTATTACCTGCTAGGGAGACGAGGTTACCCAGTATCTATGGATACTGTATCAGAAGTTATTGGGTTACTGGATGATGTAGGGGAAATACGAACAGAGAGTATTTTTACTATGATAGAGTACGATATGCTTTTAAATTTAAAAAAGCATAGGAAAGAAATTTCCAATGGGAAGGTACTAGTATCGTTTCAAACGGCAGCTTCACGATCGATCGTTTAATCGATTTGACCCGACGTCATCGCACCCAATTGATTTAGATGACGCTGCTCCGTTCGACCGTCAGCCTGACGATTAGTCGAATCGATCGTTGCGTAACGATACATACTGTTTTTACTATCTCAACGCGACCTACATTCTCTAGCAATTTTCGCATCGTTCCTTTTTCTTATCGCGAGTAGGATGTACTTCCTTTTACCGGAATTCGCAAAACAAAAATAGATCGATGTATCATTTAGTAAAGAGAAACTACGTCGAAATGATATATCGATTTGTGATTTTCCGAGTTGCGTCGAGAGTATAGAAAATAGGAAAGTAGACAGGGGGTTGATCGTAAGGTTGCTGAAAGGATTAAATTAAGGGATCCAGGTGGATCCA